AAATAATTCAAACATGTTTAGTCTACAGAATTAATTTTTGATATTGCACTCAGTTAAACTCTGGAAATAAAAACAACTCCCTCTTGCACTTGACTGCAGTGGCAGAAATTTACCAGGGTACAATTAAATTTCTGCATACTTTGATAATCAATTTCGTAGACTTTGAAAATTGCTTTATGCATGTTTAATGATCTTTTCTATGAAAACACTAAGAATACACTGTACTCATGTTTTTAGCTCACCTGAGCCGAAGGCTCAAGTGAGCTTTTCTGATCAAAATTTGTCAGTCGTCTGTCGTCGTCGTCGTCATCATTGCTGTCGTTGTCGTTAACTTTTCACATTTTCGACTTCTTCTCAAGAACCACTGGGCCAGTTTCAACCAAACTTGGCACCAAGTATTCTTAGGTGAAGGGGATTCAAGTTTCTTCAAATGAAGGGCCACTCCCTTTTTCAAGGGGAGATAATTAAGAAATAATGAAAATATGATCGTATGTTTTAAAAATCTTCTTCTCAAGAACCACTGTGCCAGGAAAGATGAAACTTATAGGGAAGCATCATCAGGTAGTGTAGATTCAAGTTTGTACAAGTCATGGCCTCCGGGGGTAGGGCGGGGCCACAATGGCCGATCGAAGTTTTACGTAGAAATATATAGGAAAACTCTTTAAAAATCTTCTTCTCAAGAACCACTGTGCCAGGAAAGATGAAACTTATAGGGAAGCATCCTCAGGTAGTGTAGATTCAGGTTTGTTAAAATCATGACCCCCAGGAGTAGGGCAGGGCCACAATGGCCAATCAAAAATTTTACATAGAAATGAAAAGGAAAATTCTTTAAAAATCTTCTCAAGAATAGCAAAGGAATGAATGATCATATTTATATGGAAGCATCCTCAGGTAGTGTAGATTCAGGTTTGTTCAAATCATGATCCTGGGGGGTAGTGTGGGGCCACAATGGCCGATCAAAGTTTTACATAGAAATATATAGGGAAATTCTTTAAAAATCTTCTTCTCAAGAATAGCAAAGGCATGAATGATCATATTTTTATGGAAGCATCCTCAGGTAGTGGACATTCAATTTTGTTCAAATCTTGACCTCTGTGGGTAGGGCGGGGCCACAACATGGAATCCAAGTTTTACATAGAAACATGTAGAAAAAATTCTTCTTTTCAAGAATAGCAAAGCCATGATTAGTCCTGTTCATATGTAAGCTCTCAGGAAGTGTAGATTCAATTTTGTTCAAGTCACGACTCGTGGGAGTATAGGGCAAGCCACAATGCAAATTCAAATGTAAAGAGCGATAAAGCCACAGAGAGTCAAAAAAATATGCAAGCATCCTAATAGTTAGTGAGAAGATTCAAGTTTGTTCAAATCATACCCTCTCCCTTTTAAGGATTGGTTGGGACCTTTATTGGGTTTAATCTCTTCAATAATAAACTGATTTCTCCTTTTTTTCTAGCCACATTTGCTCAGATGAGCGATGTGGCCCATGGGCCTCTTGTTTAAATTATGATTTACTAATTACTGTATACAGGGAAATGTTCGCCCCCATTTTATTTTCACCCCTTTCGTCCTACCCTAATTTGGGCTAATTTAAAATGGAGCGAAATTAAATAAAACAGTATAATTTCTTGAATAAATATATGAATGGGCGAATTTAAAACGGGGCAAAATTGTCTGCAAGTGTAAAAGGGTGAAAATTAAACGGGGTGAAAATAACCCTGTATACAGTACTTTGTTATACAGTGTATTCTTCTAAAAATGGGCTTGCTTGTCTCTAACCCTTGTATGGCAGTTCTCTACTTCAAATGTAATACATGTACTTCCTAACAGACTTGTAAACTTAGATGGCATTTAATAGAATTTTTTGAGCAATTTTCCAAGACTCCCATTCCTAGATAATTAAAAATGACTGTTACTACATAAGGTCTTTAGAGAAACTTAGCTTTGCTGCTTGCTTTTTCAATGTGAATTTTACCATAAAGAACTTTCAGTATTGTCTTTAAAATTGATTCTCTGTCGACATCAGTCTGGTTCTTTAATGAGAATTGACATTGAAATGAGGAGTGAGGAAACTGGCAGGTTCCAGGTGATTAAATGCCTCTAAAATTGGGATACTTTTTTTTTTACCTTGTTTTCTACAAAATACGTTTTGTGAAGAATGCGTCAGGAAATAATGCATACTTCATGTAATAATAAGTTTTGTTGTAATTTGAGTAGGCAACTAATATAAATCTGATTAAAACTTGCACCTGTTCAATAAAAAGCAATTGCAACACATTTTTATGTTCACCTAGGTTAGAATCAGTATTGGAATTATCTGCGATTCTGTTATAATGCAAAACTATTTACCCAGTAGAAAGAAAACTGGATAAATATGACTTTTTGTCTTCTATACTGAATACTTGAAAGGTGAAAATGGAATTAGAAGTTAAGAAGTGCATGTATCATTGGAGAAAGTATGGAAACAAATCATCTTCATTAGACAAAATTGTTAAACAAAATTATTCTATGCTTTTTTTTAAGGGGGATAACCATCAAACTGTAGGTTAATGTTACATATATTAAAATTAGTTAAAAAAAATTATATCCATTTCTTTGTCCATGGCCAAAAGTCCTCATATAAAAGGTTTTTGAAACAGAAAAAATAAAAAAAAAAATTATAATATCATTGACATGATTATTGTTCATTGTTACAGCATTCTTTGAGACAAAATTTAATTGAATACTCTTACACTTGTAGACATAACAAAGATGAGGAACAGACAGTAGGGATAGACTTGTCCAATTCCTGCTCCTTTAGTAACCTTCATGACAAATGGCAGATGGCCATACAGGGTGAACATGAAAAAGAGGCAGATACAGTGGAAGAACAAAAGCAGCTAGGAATTATGGGTAATACATGTAATATACAATTTTAAAACCTAATGTTACATGTACAATATTTTTCTATCACTGTTCACAGCAGAAAAAAGCAGAGGGATTATGAAATAAACATGGATATTCATGCTGTTTAAATATCAAATTCTCTGTACATTTTATAGAAATTAAGAAGTTGTGGTTAAATTGTCATTAATTAGTTTATCTTAGGTGTTGCTTTGTTTATTGCTTTCAAGCAAGACTCAAAATGCTTGAGCTCATTTATTATTCTTGTATGTTGACCACTGGGGTGTATTAAAACATTAACCATAATTTTTTTTTTTACAGAATATGTGTAGTTATTCTTTAAAAAGTGATTATTATTCTCTTAAATGTGATCATTGTGTTCAATAGGAGGTGTAGTAGGTCTTGAAGAAGAGTATCATAAGGCACTGGCAGAGAATATTGTGAAGGAATTAAATCAGCCAAAATTTAGAAAGGAGGCCTCAATGAGGGGGCGTGCAGCAAGCAGAGACAGTGCCAAGTCAACCAGGAAGGTAACAATTTATTAATCTGTACTCTGCAAATATTATTTTTTTTGGGGGGGGGGGGGGTAATTTAAACTGTTTTATGGTATAAAAACCAACAAAGTCATATCCCCCACAAAATGTGGAATTGGAGTCATAAGGATACCTTATATTTCTTCAACATCAAAAACAAATCCATCTTTATTTTTTCGAAGATAGTATAAAAATATAAATCTTAATCCTTTCATCAGAACAATTCATTCATTCTTCAGCCATTTGATTTGGAGAGTATAAAGTCGACTTCCTCTGTACATGGTGCCATAGCTCACATTCCTGAGAAACTATCACATGTTCCCCCAGAGATGTTCACCGATGTCCCAGAACGAGTGGTGCAACTTGTTCAAGAAATGCTCGACCAAAACCGGGAACCATCTACCTCCAAGAACCAGCCAAAACTCTCCAAAACTTCTTCTTTCAAGTAAGCAAAGGAATTGAAGCTGTTGATTAGCTTTGAAGAGTATCTTGCTTCAACAGTATACAGACCACTGTAATTTGACATTCATTAGCAAAACATTTTGCAAACATGTCAATTGTGAATATTGTAAATTTCAAATTTATTTTTTGCTTCTGTTAATTGCATTTGAAGAAAAGAGATATTTTTGCATGTATATAGATTTATCCCATGTTTACACCTTTATCCCTTGAATGTTCTTTTAAAATCCCAAATTTGTGATGTCATAAAGAGTTTTACGTTAGATTGATGAAGTAAAATAAAGACGATTCCTATTTTTAAAAAAGTGTAAATCAGGGAAGATCTTATGTTTATCAAACACTATTATGCTGGTATTTTATAAGCTTTTGCACTGTCTGTGGCCTTTTCATAAGGAACTATGAAGAATTTTATTTATATTGCAGAAGACAGTCCAGTTCCTCAAAACCTCCCATTCCAGAACCATCACTGGACAACTCTTCTGAAGCAGACAAATCTAACATAGAAAAGAAAGTTGTGCTGAATATATGGGATTTCTCGGGACAGTCTGTTTATTATACAACCCACCAGGTGGGGTTCATTTATTACAGATCAACAAGTAATTATGAATAATCATATGTGTACCTTGTATTCTATATGACAATACTAAATAAAATTTAGACAGAACTGTTTTTCTTAAAAAAAATAATCCTTTTCAGGTGTTTTTGTCCTCCCGTGCTGTGTATGTGATTGTGTTTAATTTATGCCATGATTTACAAACCACCAGACCGGAGGTGAGCTATGTTGCTTCTCTATATTTAAGAGCAATTACCCCCTCCCTTTAATATCCCCCCAAAGCTCTTTTAGGGTTTTTAGCTCTCCTTAGCCAAAGGCTCAAGTGAACTATTCCAATTGAAATCTGTCAGTTTTTGAAAATATTCCAAGAAGATGCAAAATTAACATCTTTAACTTGATTTAGCCTTTTACAAATTTAGTATTAAATTTTGAGAAGATAAAGTTTTCAGTACCCCCTTAACCCCATTTTTTTTAAAACTACATTGTTAAGAAGTTAACATGTGTAGCAATATTATCAACTCATAAAATATGTATGTAGTTGAACATGTGTGTACATGCAGCTCTACTTATTTTTTTTTTTTTTTTTTTTGGTTGCTTATTTTGAGATTTCAAACCTCCATAAAACCTCTTTAAAGTAATCAAGTTATGCACATCAGTAAATAATTATTTGATGATTTATTCAGCACCTAGTTGTTGCATTCTTGTAATCTCTGTTTTTTATTTTCTTTCAAAAAATTGTTTATTAATGACATGTAGACTGCCATTTTTAAATTCAGTCATGGTATTGGGCACAAAATTACATTTACACTTCTGCATAAAGAAAACAAATGCAGAGCAAGTTCTCACTACTTAAAGATAGTAGAATGAAACATTTTCAATTTTCACATTTCCAAAATCTAGCACAATTACAAAGCTAACTTTTAACAGATAAGTAATTTACCACTACATGTATAATGTACTTAATAGAGAGGTTTAGCAAACTAACGTGTACGCGTGCGTGTACGTGTAGCACCAAAAATCTGTGCATTACGTCATCACTTTTGCTTATGATGAATTTCTACACGTATCCGTTTACGAAGGTTACGTGTAGATTGCCAAGTACACGTAAGTCCAAACTTGTAGCTAATAATTCTTGAACTGCAGTTTATTTTTCAAAAAGTGTGCATTCTTCTAAAACCTGAATATTTAATACAAATAACTGAGAAAAAAACTGTATGTCAGTAATTGAAAAATGTTAATTTATAGAGAGTTAAAATCACAACATCTAGATTTTCGAAACAGGCTTTGACCGAATAAAAATGTAAGAAATCTTTACAATCTTTTTCTCATAAGTACATGCATATATTTATGTAAAACGGTGATATACGTATTAAAATCATTGCTTTTTTGGATAAATTTTAATTGTAAACCACTATTTACATTTAAAAACCTACAAGTACAAGTACAGATTATACTTTGCTAAACAAGAAAAAAATGTTAACGTGTATGTGTAATTCTAACTTGTAGTTTACACGTACATGTACACGTACAAGTGAGCTTGCTAAACTTCTCTATTTATTAGCAATGACGGTAAGAAAAGTAAATTTTTTCTTCATTAGTATGTATTAGCAACACCTAAATTTGGTCCTCATAATAAAAAATCCTTTTTTTTTCTTTTTCACAAATAATTTCAGAATGACTAAAATTAATTAATATATTATTTATTGAAATTAGAACTCTGTTGAATCCTGGAGCACTATGGAGTATATGGACTACTGGCTTAGGACTATTTATAGCCACACCTCCCAGAACAGTACCGATACTATCAGTAACAGTAGGATCTCGCCCCCCATCTTAGTGGTGGGGACCCACAGAAACAGTCTCTCAGCTGATGAGGTGGAGCAGAAAAGACTGGTGAGTACTGTAGAAAATATAGCCAGAAGTACAGTAAACACTGTCTAACCTGATGTCTGTGTACCGGTAATCTGTCTCCCTGTGAATGCTGACTTTTATTTTATTCATATTTTACTGTTTTCCCATGTTGTTTACATTGTTCAATGTCATCCTGTCTATTTGGGAAACAAAATTTGTCCTCCAAATCATGTCTGATTAGATGGGCTGCAGTGTAGCAGATAAGATGTTTGAAAACAGAGTGGGGATATTTCAGAGAGACTTGGCTTATTTCAGCTTCTTAGACGTATTATATACATGGTTCATTATCTGTAGTATGTGTATCAGTAAATGTTTAACTGCAGGTTGAGGAGAAATTTGATGAGCTGAGGACCTTTATGATGGACAAACCCTACACCAGACATTTGATTACACCATTTATAGCCATAGAAAATGACATGAAGGATGGGGAAGACCCTCAGGTATATAATACATTAATCAGCAAATCAGTTAATTGTTAATTAATACAATAAGAACCCTGTAATAAATTAGTACTTTGTATTTTTATAATTGTATAATGTAAAGAAGCACTTTTATGGTTCACTTTCACTATAAGCAGAGGATATTTCTGTCCTGGAATTCTTTCTGTTTCTCCATCTGTCTACTTTTTTTGCAATGATTTTTTTTCCTAACTTTCTATGACTTAAAGAAACTCGTATCGAATTTTGATGTCAAAGTCTGTCTAGGTAAAAAAACTCATTTGTTGCACAAAATGGTTTCAGGTGATAACTTTTAGTTTTTGAGTTTTTTTAATGGAATTTTTTCATAACCCGATCTGACTTATAGGTAAACCTTATTGATTTTGAAGCAGTGGACAAAAATTTTTAATACCAGTATTGCATAAATTTTCAGGTAAGTTAAGCTCTCTTAGAGCCATAGCAATGAAACTTAGGCAATGGATATCTTTAACTAATATAGAAAGACCCATGTTGATTTCAAGGAAAAAGGTGAAAGACCTTTTTTTTGCCATCTGCATTGTTTAGGTCTTTCTCTCAGCTCTTATGTTCCGTTAATATATGGTTTATTTTTCTTTTTTGAAGATTGGAGAGGTAAGGAAAATGATAAAAGAGGCAGCTAGTGAAGAACCGTACATGGGGGAACAAATGCCAATCCGCTGGCTCAGGTTTGAACAAGAGATTGCTAAACTTGTAGCAGAGGACACCACACATGCTTCCTATGACCAGGTACCCAAACAAATGTTATTGTAAATCACTTTTTATTGATAGCAATATGGGGCAATGTTCGCAAAAATTAAAAAAGGATTCCTTACAATTATAAGGAATAACAACTATTCTTGAAAATTCTTTACAAAGAGTATGGCAATTTTTAATTAACATTATATCTTGATAGCAATACAGGACTTCATTTTCATAACTTTTTATTGTAAAGGAAAGTGATAACAGAATGGTTTATTTTTACACAACTGAAAATGAGATTAAAATCATTTTCTAATAAATATATTGATAATTTCTGAGGAACACAGTAGTTCTACAATTTTGGACAACAACTATTGTGCTGGCAAAGCCCAAAAGTGACAAGGTGGGATGGGGTACCTTTGAAATCTTTCAAAATTGTACACAAACCCTACAAATTATGAATAAGTTATTTCAAATTCACAGATATTTGTAAAGTTCTTAATTGTGTATTTTACTGATGAAATCACTGAATGACCGATTATGACTTTATCAATTAAGTTACTGAGGTTGTATTGTGTTTTAGTGGAGTTTTAGCAAAGATAAATGGAAGACGTTTGAACAGAAAGGAATTCTGGATGATTCATTGGTGGATGATATCTGGAAGAAGGCGACGATGCAGAAAACGGTTCTCCTGGGTCTGATGGAGAAGTTTGATCTTCTCTGTCCAGCATACACACAGGTACGCTGTCCATTAAAACATCTCTCTTCAGAGATTTGTATTCGTATGACAATGCTCTTGTCTCTTATTTCACTATAGTACATGTAATCATAATATTTTAAAGAAAAAAAAAACACATCAATTTTTAACATTAAAAATAATAATACCATATAATCCCTATTAACCGCCCCTACCCTTATAAGCCCCCCCCCCAAGGTCTTTTTAGTTGTGAGGAAATAAGGAACCCTGTAAGTGATTAAAATCGGCTAGACAAAGAAATGAAGAAAGTGAAAATGAAATTTGTCTATTATCCAATTTCTCAGTGGAAAATGAACAATTTAGCATAACTTGGGTGGATTATCTTTTCTTTAAGTAAAGTTAGACATTATTTTAGTTGTTTCTTGTAAAGTCACCAAAAGTGACAAGGTCGTGCGTCGTGCGTTGTGCGTTAACATTTGAACATTTTCAGCTTCTTCTCTGCAACCACTGAACCAATTTCAACCAAATTTGGCACAAAGCATCCTGAACAATTTATGGGGCCAAAAATAAATTAATCAATCTTTAAAAATCTTCTTCTTTACTCCTGGGCATCAAGCAGTCAAACTGTTTGCATGATTGTAATCAGTATATTACAAAATTGTGAAATTCATGAAGGTAGTGAAAATGCATTATTTCTTTGAAAATCTTCTTCTCTGCTCCTGGGTATTAAATAAACTAACTAAGTACATAGTTATGATGAATGACCAAAATTGTGAATTTTTATCAATTCTGGTGTTAGGGTGGGGCTCTATTGATTATATAGTGAAAATACATGTGAAAATCTTCTTCTCTGTGTAAATAAACTAACTAAGTGCCTAGTTATGGTGAGCAAGTGATACCAAAATTGGAATTTTACGTTTGAACATTGATTATATAGTGAAAATACATGAATTCTTTGAAAATCTTCTTCTCTGCTCCTGGGTATTAAATAAACTAACTAAGTGGATAGTTATGATGAGCAAAGAAGGCCTCAACCAAAATTGTGAAAACGGTTCTGGGTTAGGGTGGGGTCTGATTATATAGTGAAAATACAGGAATTCTTTGAAAATCTTCTTCATTGTCCTGGGTATTAAATAAACACACAGTTATGATGAGCAAAAGTGCCTGTACCAAAATTATAATTTTCTCTCAGGGTCAGGGGTTTTGGTGAAATTATATATGAAAATTCATTAAATCTTTAAAAATTTTCTTCCTTCTATTTCACTATATAGTATTTTTAATTAAATTTCATGTTTACTTATATACTGAAAATGAAAATAACACATATCAAGCCAATTTTTAATATGGAAAAAAATATAACATTAATTTTCATTAACTTGATAAAGAACTGATATGAAATATGTATTTTTGTTATGATGAATTAAATTTTATCACTAAAGTTGGCATAATGCCTTTAAAAATTTTATTTTTTGAAGTTAAATTGCAATAAAAGAGCTTTTTGAAATTTTTCAAGTGCCCGGGGCGGTTAATAGGGATTATACGGTATTTGCATATTTTTTCATAAAAAACTAATATGAACTATGTACTAATTTTTGCACCTACTGGTAATTATTCATAAATGGCATTTCTTTTAAAATCAAAGTTGAACTGCCATAAGAGAGAATGATATTTTGATACTGTAATTGATGTTATTTTCCATTGTTTAGGCAAATCAGAGACCCAAGTATTATTTTGTGCCATCAAGGTTGACGAGTGAGAATGATTCAGACAAACGTCTGTATGCCAACAACCCAAGCAATGCTGTGTTCTACATTAACTTTGCTGGTTTTCTACCAGGTATGAAAAAAGACACTGCACTGGGTTTTTAATTTGGTCTTCATTCAGTTTGTGGATTTCAGAGTGCAGCTGTTAACTGTTGAAATTTTCTTCTTTCAGTTGGACTGTTTTATAGAATTGTTACTAGAACAACAAAATGGTGTATAGACAATTCTGGAAAAGAACCCTACAGCTTGTTGAAAACTCTTGCAAGATTTTATTTAGATGAGGAGCATGATTTTGTTATAGAAATGGCTCCTGCAAAATATCACAGAATTAAGGTAACTCTGCTTTTTTCAGAAGTTTTTCTGTAAAATTTAAACTGTAATGTTTGGTCTTGAAATATAATATTGGTTGCTCAGTTTTTGATGTTTCACTATAATTATTTGTTTTTAGATTGTTGTTACCAGGGTCAATGATATGTCTGAAACAAACAATTCAGAAAATGCCAATTTGTCTCCCAAACCAAGTGCTTGTGCCAAAGTAAGTGTTTTCAAAACTTTAGTGTCAGTTTTAAATCTCCTGACTAAATGAATCTTAGTAAATGCTTTTAAAAATTAAATTTATTTTAAAAGATCTGTGTTCATGGAACAAATATTCAAATTTCTCAGTCTCCATAAAAAAGCCTTCACATATGGGTGCCAGTACATTTATCATGGTATGATGTCCTCTTTTTCAGTTAAGAAATTTTCTAGAGAGCAGTCTTCTAGAGCTGAAGGAGAGCTGGATGAAGAGATTGGTCTATTACACGTGTGTGGAATGTCCATGTGGGCGGCCATGTTACCTCCATGGTGATGATATCTGCAAGGAGGAAGAGTGTTTACATTTCTTAAATTTAGACGAGTGCCTAGCAAACAGGGTTTGTGTAGTACTTGTTTTCTTCTACATATAAGACTTCAAGTAACATATATTCATGAGATTCGATTAGATTTCATTTCATTGTGACATAGGCATATACATGTTTATCTACATTATTACAGATTGTTTGTTGTGAGCACAGAAGAGTTAAAACTACATCCATTAAGAAGTGGTTTCCCGAAACTTTATCACCAGGTAAAAAATACCACAAACTACCAAATGAATGCTTCACTTTATTTTACATGCATAAACAAATAATTGAACAAGAACTACAGACTTTAGTGCAATAGTGAGTTACATGAGCATGTCCATTATCTATTGGTAACAGTTCTTCAGATAAGCCTATAAGTCTTGATTCCCTTTGTTTGTAGTTTTTCAAGGTCACATCTTGCCAGCCATTGACCTTGAGGAATCTTATGGAAACATTGAGAAACACAGCCCCGTATTACCGGTGTGGGTCAAAGGTGCTGCTAAGTTACTGAATTCTGGGGAAGAAAATCAGGACTGGCTTGCTCTAGCCAAACATTTAGGTGAGTTTTAGTCAGTGGAAATATACTCTACCAATGCACAACATTTGTAAGAAAAGGATTGTATGGAAATTTCTGACAGTACTAATTTCATAGAAATTTGCAAGGTCAGACAACATTCTGTATTCGACAATATTTTAAACTTTGAAATTTACTGAGTGACCTTTAGTCTATGTCGTATTAGCGAAGATTTCAGAATACATGTAAATCATCTGGATTAGAAAGTTTCACTGTAATATATAAAGAGAAAAGTTCTTTTGTGTTCTTTAATATTTTTTTAAACAGTTTATAATCATGAACAGTTTTCTGTGAACATCAGATTTTTAAAAAATCTTATTAGGGCTTTACATCAATTCCTTACAATACACAATGCTTATGAGATAAACAGAGAAAATTTTCGTACTTTTCAGGTTACAAGGAGGCTCAGATAGAGAAGTTGCTGGAGGACCTTAATCCTGGTCTGGCCTTGTTAACAGACTGGATCATCACCAGTGGTAACACTTCTCTCTCTGTGGACATGCTGATCACTTACCTAGAGAAGATGAACAGAGATGATGTGCTGGAGATCATGGAGAAGGCTAATGGTAAATTCCTACAGATTTATAAAATATTAAGTGTGTTTGATGAGCTTATGAAGTGAGCTGTTTGGTTTAAATGCTCAAACAATGTTGCATGTGAAACCTGCATTCCTTTTTCTTGATCAATAAGACTTTTGCATGTCAATAAGAGCCAGTATGCTTGTTTTATTTTATATATGTGAATGAAATAATTTTTCAAGATGATGGCAGTATCCAAAAATTATTTTTTCCTGGAAGAGTGTAATTTACGTAAATGTACTTTGCAGCTATGAGGAGGTTAATTTTCTGTAATGTATTGTATAATTCCTATACAGACACAGATAAGGATCCACCCCAACTGTTTATCAGTTATCAGTGGGACTCCCAGGACGAGGTCAAGGCCCTCAGAGACAAGATGGAGAGGAGCGGGTTTTCCTGCTGGATGGACATTGGTCAGATGGGAGGTGGAGATTTTCTCAGTGCCAAAATTGACCAGGGTATTCGCAACTGTAAGGTAAGGGAGAGGAAAAATATTTATCTTGCATGTATCATCAAGACATGAAATACCTGAGGTGAATGTATTTTGTTTAATATAGTTTACATTGTATGTAATAGATTCTGATTATTTTGAGTATTTTGGTGAAATAGAGTTTACAATCAGAGAAGTAAGTTAAAGAGTGATAACTTAAATGCATTTAGATCAGTGTTTTGGGTATTATAAGTCATTGTGTTCCATAAACTATCCCTTGATTTTGTTATTTATAGTACTCGTATGTATACTACATATATACATGTAGTTGACACACATTCTTCTTCTTATACTTGTAGGTGGTGCTTGCCTGTATAACGCCAAAATATGTGGTATCCCACCATTGTAACCGTGAGCTGAGTCTGGCTGATCTGCTGAATAAAACCATTATACCTATTATGTTTGAGGAGGTGCCCTGGCCTCCCCCCGGGGGCATGTCCCTCATCTTCTCACAACTTGTTTACATTAACATGAAAGGTAAAATTAAATTTTAACCAATGACATGCTAACATTACTTTTTTATGTATTTGTTCTCATTTGTTTCAAGTTCCTTGAATAATGAAACAACCTATTATAATATGTAATATCTGTTCACATTATCTTACTTTACACATTTTGAGATTTAGATTTTGGGGACACATGGCATTGTTTACAGTAGTGACAATCAAATGATTCAATCAATTTAATGCCGAAAAAATGTTGGTTAAGGAAATTCCAAATAGTAGATTGTCAACTAAGGAAAGTTTAAGGCTATTTTATCAGCTTTCAAATGTGATGATTTTCAAAGAAAATTTCAAATGATGAAAATTTTGTGTGATCATTGAAAATTGTGTTAGGATTAGATCAAAAATTAATTGCTGGTTAGCAATTTGATTGATTGAATTTTTTAATTTTTTTATAAACTCTACAAAACCGAAGCATTGTATTCAATAGCAATTATAATTGCTCTTTCTATACGTTTAAAAGTTCTTTCTATATAATTATGTGCACAATGAAACAATCTATTATTATTCTATATATAAAATACATGTATTTCTGTAGGTGTTGGTGGTCATGGTGGCACAGGTATCCATGCCGACCTGAAGGACAAATACAAGGAGATTGTCCAGAAACTGATGAATTACATTGTCCCAGACCTGACCAAGTATTTTGACACTGAGACTCTGATCAGTAAACAGTTCTCTAATGACAACAGTAGTTTATACAGCGAGACGCACTCTTTACCCATAGTGACGGAATCCACAGTGACTTATGGGGGAATCCCAGAGGGTCGACAACATAATGTGATAAGACAGGACGAGGATTACTTCCCCCCTCCCCCTCATTATCAGGCCAGGGAACAGGTGCCCGTGAACCAGTCCTGTGTGTGTACTATTTTATGATAAAATGTGTGGACAACGATCATATCCCTCATTATTGTGCAAGGAAATGGGTTACTGTTACCCAGTGTGAACTATTTTATGACTGGATGAGGATTTTTTCCAACTCTCTTCACCCTCATTACCAGGCCAAGGAACAAGTTGCTGTAACCCAGTCTTGTGTGTGAACTATTTTATGACTGGATGAGGATTTTCTCCAACTCCCCCTTCCCCCTCATTTTCAGGCCAGGGAACAGGATTTGCTCTCCCTCCCCCTCCCCCTCCTTTCATTATCTGGCCAAAGCTCCAGTTAACCAGACTTGTGTGTGTATTATATTATGATGAAATGACAGGTACATGCATAACCATATAAATTATTTTGTTTGAAACATTAATTTTGTACATACTCATTAAATATGCATATGTTTGTGATCTAAAAACATGTGAAATGTTTGAAATGTTTATTAAACTTAAATCTAAGGCTGCTCTTTAAGACAGCTCTGATAATTGTTTGTATTTATTACAATAATTGGATACAATTTTAAGTATTTACAAAGAGAGTGAATTTTCTCTTGAAGCTCAATATGTATGTCGATTTATTGTAAACCAACATTTATTTAAGTGATAGAAATATTCATGAGTTTTGGATACCTTATACTCACAAATACTTCTTGTCACAAATTATTTATATACGTTTTAACTGCTTTTTTTTTCAGAAAATTTTGTCATTTAGTGAAAAGTTTGATTAAAGTGGATAAAATATTACAAATCTAAAATTTTGCAGTATGTTTCCATTATCATTTTAAGATCTTTTTGCATGGATTACTACATCAGTGTATCTGCTTATAATATATGAATTACATGTATTGTACAACCTGTGTAAGGTGTAAAACCAAGAGAAGTATTGTTATCTGTGATATGAAGTAATGTTTAGTTATTGTTAATACATTCCAAAAATGGTTTGTTACATGTACTCTGCATGCATAAAAACATTGTTTACATACATTACAGTATATTGCACTTGCTGCACATGAAGAAATTTACCAGATATATACAATAATTTGATCTGTTTACCAATTTTCAGAGATATATTTTTACAGAGGGCATTTTATTTTATAACTTGAAATAAATACTGATCATTAATTACTTGTATTGTTAGGTATTTCATAGCACATTATTTTATTTTTTATTACAGGAATTATTTTAACAAATTAATTATGCAGTGACCTTTTTTATTGTTGACTTTTTCATACATTGGAGGTTTTTTTTAGCATGGTTGTAAAATATTTACCTTTTTTATTATTTATAAAATGCCACTTTCATACTAGAATTTTTATATTTTCATTCTTATTCTCACAAAATATTTTAATGCCTTATTTTCTTTTTTGCATACAAGGTTTTAGAGATCTAGTCTTTAAAGGGACTTCATAGATCTGTTTGTTAAAACTTTTTTTTCGTTATAACCTCCCCTCTCATATTTAGGTAAATTCATTTAGTTTTATGTGTGTTTCATGGAAACAGGTTTATTGGTATATGGGCATTTTTATTTTTTGGTACATGTATATGTTAAATCAATGGGCAATTAGCTTAATTAGTCTTATATGATCATTAAATATCATTTGCATTTTTTTTTAATTTAGAACATGCTGCAAGGAAAAGAAATAGTAAATCACTATGAATATTTGATTTTAAAGCATGTTTGTATAAAAGAAGTAACTACAATGAAAAAAGAAATGGCATAATAAAGCTCAATAAAGCAATGAACTGTCTTTAAATAAAGATCAAATATCTTACAAATGTTTTTTACTATACAACTGTTAAAAAGGTTTCAGTCAAAAGTTTAACTTATATTTTTTTGTTTTGTTATTTATTTACTTTTTTTCTTTCAGTGTTGAGTATTTAGCGTGTGCCTTTAGAGAATCTGAGATTATCTGATGCACCTTTTTAGCTCACTTGAGCTTAAAGTTCAAGTGGGCTTTTCTGATCACCCAATATCTGTCATCTATCTGTTCATCTGCCTGCAAGTTTTCGCATTTTCAATTTCTTCTCAAGAAACACTTAGTTTATTTTAACCAAAATTGATACAAAGCATCCTTGGGAGATGGGTAAATCTTCTCAAGAACCACTGGGCCAGTATACAACATACAAAGAAGCAAGGTAGTGTACATTCAAGTTTGTGCATATGATGACCCCCGCAAGGATAGGGTGGAACCACAATGGTTGATCAAAGATGTATAGGGTAATATATAGGGAGAGTATCTGCTGCTGATGAACAGAATGGCCATTTGTGACTCAGGTGAGCTTTGTTACCCATGGGCCTCTCATTTTAGTATACACATTTCATTGTTGATGAATTGTTTTGGTCTCTGTAGTTAGTTAAATAACTGTTATAAATTGTTTGCAACTCTCAAGACTTTGTTAAATGATTTCTACCTATGAACTGTATTATATATCCTGGATTAAAGGATTCATAATATTTTATTGTAGTCCTGTGTTTATTCCCCCACCCACCCACACAAAGCTTTCACTGGTATGCTATATTTCAAGAAATAGGAACGTCAGAGAGTGAAGTCATACACAATTTACTATCCATACCTATTGATAATTTCTCTGGGTATTCTTGATTGAAAGCAGGCATGTAGCATCAGGCATATGTTTTACAGTACAAGCCGTTTAATTTAATACCTGTTTTATATCATAGGCCGTTTTTTATCATAGATATTTAAAACACAAAACCATTTCTTAATAATTCAATGTTAATTTCTTACGTTATTATCATAGGTAAAAGTGTGTACTTCGGTTACTATAATAGAAAATTTTCGTCCGTAATATTTTTTTCACACCTTTTTCACCCTTGAGACAATTAACAAAACAAAAGATAACACCTGTCAACACCTGTGGCCCATGCACTGTCGCTTATCTATACACAATGGCTTGACTGAGGGGGATTAGTCACACTCCAGCGCATTTACCTGAGCGGTGACTGGAAGTTTGTTTATTTCACAAAGTACATTACACAACAACAGGAAGCCATCAGCAATCTTATTTTCTTCTTTTGTTTAATTGTTTAATTGTACATTGATAATAAATGTGTTTTACCAAAATGTGTTGAATCTAAATTAAGTGTCAATTACCCAAGCTATCTTACGCTTGTTGCCTGATCAATGTTCATAATTAATCACATTTATAAACTGTCCAATTTATTAAGAAGTGATGTGAAATTAACTTTTTAACCAGCCTGTCAAAGCGGCTTTGATTTACATCAGTGTATCAATTAATTTAATTTCAATTAAACGGCACCATTAAGTGTAAATTAGCGCTTGGGTGCAGAGAAGAAAATAATTTGGCTTGTGTTTGAGATGAATTTTCCCTGACAATAAATAGCTTGAAGGTTGAAAAAGAATGAGAAAGAATTAAACAATTTTAATTCATGTTCTTTTATGTTGTAACATAATTTTGATACCGTAAATATTGTGTAATTGGTAAGCAAGTTATGTTATGCTGAAATGTTGAACTAACATTTTTGTAACTAAATGTTTTTTTCGTTTGTACATTTTTATATACTTTTTATAGACATTTTCTCTTTTTGTTGTGTTTTATTAATGTAAAAAAAACCCAACGAATTATTAATAGATTGAATTGATCATAGAACTAAAAAACGAAAGTAGATCAAAATGAAAGTTAACAAGATGGATGCCAAGACATCTAGAAGATTGAGTTCGGAGATTATTAAGCTTTAGGAAAGTGAATTTATTTATACAAAATGTTGAAACAGTAAGTAAAAAAAGTAAAATGATATGTTAGCTAACTTGTTTTTCAAAATAAACGTAAAAATATGAAATTACATACTATAATACTTATTTTAAATAGTGTAAAAACGGCAGGCATGTTATTGATCAAGTCATGTTCATGCCAGACCTCGGAGATGAATTTCAGCTGTCTATGGTTATAATCATAGTCGGTTATTATAAAGTTTTGGCCTGACAAATAAGCTATGATAATAAACGGCTTGTACTGTACTATAGAAAATTTGGATTGGGAGAGGTTGCTATGTGCCTGCTCTACACTTAAAACAAAGTTCAATTAAGCATTTGTGCCTCAGAATTTAATTCCACAACAATAAGTAGATTAACAGAAATTAAAGTAATAGATATATACTTTATAAGAATAAAAGAACATTGTACATCTAAATATTTTGGCATCTACCTTTTCAACAACAGTGAATTTTTATTTTATAAAAAATCTGTAAGATATTGTTGCTTTCTATTCAATAACAATGACAGGTCTATAATAATACCATTTATTATGCAGGCTTAGAATTAAAACATGGCTCAAAAGTGGTGTATATAAATTCTCAATAGTAGAATAGAACATTTAGTGGATGTAACCAAACAAGAGACTTACTGTGGTAAAAAAAAATATTTGCATGGAGGAATGTTTGAAGAACCAATAATACAAAATAATATTTAAAACATTATATCTGGAATTCGTAATACTAATTTAACTTACAAAAGCACTTGCATGTACTGGATTTCAAAAAGACATTTAAAATGCAATCCATGTAATTTTTGTTCCTTTAAACATCAAGTACATGTATCTACATTTATTCATAAATACATGTTAATGCAATACTGAATTGCAGCAATTTTAACCCCCTAAAACTTTCTTAGCCTTAATTTTAAGATTTTCTAATTGACAAAATGATTGTTAAACATTCTTTGAAAAGTTATCAACTCTGCTGACAATTTACTAGTCCTATATCAACAGACTGACTGAAATTAAATACACAATTAATTAATTCCAAAATCATGATTTCAGCAATTATTAAATATGAGCCATTTAATGGCACCAAGATTAAGCTTTGAGATACCCAAGAATTCCAAGATAAATACATTTGAACACCGATATCTCAAATACCATGCATAGATATATGTCAAAGTGATTTGTTAGTCCCAACCACTTATTGTTTCAGTGTTTTACCCTCCACATATCTCGAATCATCAGATATCTGGAAGATTTTCCTAGGTCACATCGAGTTAGAGGTAACAAGATTTGACTGCATAATCCCTTTAACATATCCTTAATATTCGATATATATGTATCGGTGTTTGAGATAACATTGGTCAACTGTATTTTGTGAAAACGTTCTAGTTGATATTTTTAGTAAATTTAATACTCAAGTACATATTGTACACTAATAACTATTTCTACAACTTGATATACATGTATTTTCTCTTTATCTTAACCATACAAGATAAAATGTATAGACATGATACAATAAGAATTTCTACCGATTAAGTAAACATTCAGTATAATATTACAATTAATAATGAAAATGTGTTTTACAGTCTGAAACATCAATTATGAATAAAGGTGATATATACATTGTACGTTACCAAGAAAAAGGAACACAACCATTAGTAAATAAATACATGTATTTTTAAATATGTCGGTAATATACATAAATGCCTCTATTCTTTCCAATGCATATTTAAAACATTGTAAGCAGTGTCAACTGTTTGTGTATGCACCCATGTGTATTTGTGTAAGAGGATGAACTACAAATTCTTCAGAAGGGACATCAATAACTCTTATCTATGCATTTTCTTCAATATTTGAAATTGTCCAAAAGATGGAAAATCCTATTTGAATTCAAGTATTTCTTACATCTGTGGTCTTTTAGGTTCTAAATATAATAAGTTTTCTGAATTTGAAATACCGTACTAGTATCAGAGTAAGGACCACTGCTGGTGATAATAAACCTTGCACAATGTAATTTTCTCATTCTCTTATGAATTCATATGAATAATTTTGCCAGACAGCATGGTACATAAAGGTAAAATTGTGCAGAATAAGTACATGGACATGTAACAATGTAAGTAAATTACCACATCTTCACAACATATGAAATTTCTATTGCTCATAACATGTAAAACATGGGGAATGCTACAAGAATCATCACAAACATCCCAAAACAACAAATTGCATTTCATTAATATTCCCATTATTTTCCCTGATTTACTCATGTATGCATAATCTAAAGTCTATACTTAAATATACAATGTAAAACAGCTAGTACATGTATTACAAGTATGCCATCTTATTTTAAATTTCCCTCCAAAGCAATTTTTCCCCAAATAATGCCCTACCAACCAAACTCAGATTTTAAATTACCTTGAAAGTTGTTACAATAAATGCTTAAACATTGTGCTAAAAACTCACATTTCTATTACACAAACTGACTAGAAAAAGTTTTCAAACAAATTAAATAAAAGAATCACAGTGCTTAATGCAAAATGTGTATACCTTCTTTTTTATATGAAAAATGTTTGAGTGATAACTTTCAATTATCTTCAACATCAACAAATAAAGATGTTCTAAAGCTTCTTAATATGAGATTCAGACCATTTTCTTTGGTTTCCATTCTTGGACAACTAACAGCGGTGTTACCAGAGTATTTATACCCTGTACATCTATTTCTACTTACAGAAGCATTGCTCTCAAATATATTACCTTAAATACTTAATATAATTTTAATACATCTAATAGTAAACACATGTGCAGTGAATATTAAATTTTTCCCTATTTTGACATATGTCATACATCATCAAATATTCCCCTTGGGGGTGCACCAGAAGTCCTTGAACTAAACCTGCTGGATCTAAGTGATGAGGCCCTCTGATATCCTTGTGAAATATCAGACCCTGAACTAAATGGGTCGGCTGTGCTTGGCAGTTCACCTGTGTAGTCTATAGGTTCTGCTTCCTTCAGCAGCTCAGTTTTATCATTGTCATCCGGGCTCCTTGCCAAGGTTTCCCGCTCCCTCTCTCTTTCTCTGTCGGCTGGAATACATATAAAAAAGAGGATAGGTACATCATAATTCACTTCAAAAATGCATTCAAATGCACCTCCATCATCACAAGCCACAGAATTTGTGTCCATTCTATTCCCACAAAATGTGGAAATAAAATGAACATAAAACCTGTGGCTTGTGACGATGTTGCACCTCATGCTTTTCTTTTTATATTCATTGTACAATATTGATATGTACAAATATGAAATGTCTCTAATTATGTGAATAACTGAGCTTTTTTGAAGCAAAAATGGAAACATTCCAAGGTACATGTATTTGACTTTTTCTCTTACCTCTGGATCCAATGATTCGGTCCGAAGACTGGGAAGTTGTTCCAAATCTTTCTGTCCACTCACGCCTTCTCTCTGCACTGTCAAGTTTTCTATCTCGACTCCTCTTCTCTATAAAATATTTACATGTACTTGTAAGAGCTATTGAAAAATATGTACATGATAGTACAAAAAATAGCCATATACTACATATTCTTTTTAAAATTGTCAAATTTTATGATGTCCAAAGTTTGAGAAGTTTCTCTATTTAATACATGTATACCCTTTCCACATTAAAATTCACTACATATGCATAAGCACTGGTAATAAAGACTTCCACTCAGACTGGGAACAAGATAATCTGTTTATCTAACCTCTCTGTACAATCTGTCTCCCCTCATCCACCAGTTCCTGGGTCATGTCATCATCCCCGATAAACTGCTGGACCCCCAGAAAATGGAGGATTCGACTCCCCAGGCTGAAGAACGTACAGATACACAACAGGACTAGTATCATAGGAAAGTAAATGTTAAAGCCATCCGAGATAAATGATATTACATCCATGTGGCCCATGATCTGTCAAAACATAATGGATTTAGATTATTGGTCCATTTTTGGAATCTTCATACATGTACATGTATTTTCACATTACAAAAACTTTACAAACTGGATTTACCATAATTGGCTGAATATTATACGCACTTTTTTCCAAAAATAAATTTCTTTGAGAAAGGGATGTGTATTTTACATCACAATGGGATTTGGATAGGTTTTTCTTTCAGGTGAAACATGGCTATCATACGTACATACCGTAGTATTACCTAGAGACATATGTAATTTTTTTTGTTTATCGCCATATTTTAAACTTCGAAAAGTTATTTTTGGAACGTATGCTTGATGAAAATGTCACTTTCATAATCATTTGATAGTAAAATGATATGAAAAAGTAATTTAAAACTAATTTGAACTGCATGTTTATCGTCTCTCTGTAGGCCGCCATAACTGATATTATTTTTAGACGTTCACACATTTCTTTGCCACGTGCTTCCATAATCATAGTGCACATGTACCTAATCTGCCAGACGAAGTAATAAAATGTTTAATGAAATACAATATATTAAAAAATTATTTTAAGTTTTAAATAACTCCGTGAAAATTCACTTCAACATATACACCGCTGTGTACGTCCCAATGAAAGGAAGCCAATATTGTGAACACGTGTGCTTGTCACTTGATTACTGTAGACTCCTTATTTTTCGCGAGTACTTTTTATTGCGAACTGGCTCTTAAACGTCAAATCGCGAGAATTATAATTCGCGAATGGGCGGTTGATCAATAGATTTTTCATAGATTTCAACACTTTAAAAATAAAAGTGAGTAATATTTTTTCGCGAGTGATTCTTCTCATGAAATAACGCGGAAATTAATTCTTCATGTTTAATAAGGAATCTACAGTATTATCTCTCAACACCCCTCCAGGCAATTAAATTGTCTACCGACTCCAAAGCATTGTTTTCACAGTTACAGCACTAATTATTTACTGTATTTTTAATTGCTTTGATTATTTTCTTTCAATTGTTAAAAATCGGGGGTCGGTTTATGATCTTTTGTATGTATGAGTGTGTGTTGATTATGACACATTAAACAATTAAACGCTTGTTAAGTGTAATTTTACTTTACCTTGTATTTATCGGCCTCTTGTTTAAATAATAATTGAGAGTGGACAAATGAAATACGAAGTATGCTAAAACAATATCACATGCTTACGCAACATTACCTTGTGTTTTGTTGAAATAAATAATTTTCTCCAGATTGCTCTATATGGAAATTCAGGATTAATTGTTTTCTGTAACTTTTTGACACTTAATCTTTGCGCCGACTTTCATAACAAATTACCGCGATTTTCAAAGTTCAGAACATCGCTTGGTAAAATTTTCTGTTGCGTATAATACAACCGAACTGCGTTTTTTCCCCAAGTTTCAGGCTCAAAAAGGGGGGTGCGTATTTTACGTCAATGCATATTATATTCGGCCATATACGGTAGATAAGCTAGCCTTATTTAGTGGTCAGTTCTTGGCTCTTTTTTCTTGCAAATTTATATAAAGTTTTAATGAAAACAATTACAGAATGATATTTTGTTTTTATCCGGACCCTGACCTGTGTGTATGATGTTTCCTCCAGATTATCCTCCTTTGTGATATGGCTGTCAAGATGAATCAGTCCCAGGAAATTCAAACACATGGGCGGGGTCAATCTACACAGCATCCTAAAAAATTGTTAAAGTTTGAAAAAATAGTGAGCTGTCCAATTTTCATGAATTACACTTTAGTACTTGTGTTCATTCTCAGAGAAAATAGCTTCAAAACAAAAGCAGACAGTTCAAACTCTGGTACATGTCATATAATACGAATTATCTGATATTTAAACCTCAATTACTATTTGCAATTAAATGTATATGCAAGATTCCATGTGCATTCAAATTTATGCTGGTGATAAAAATAAGCTTGTATATTGTAACAGTGTATTACAGGGTAATTTTAGCCCCCAATATTATTACATGTTTACCAAATTGGCAATAATTTAGAGATACTATAATCTCTCACACACAACTATGGTTTGGCAAAAGTAAAATTGACAAAATTGTTTGCATTTAAAGGATGAAAATAACTCTGAATACAGTCGTTCCTTTTGATGCTGAATAGCATAACAAGAAATGATTAAGTTTCCACAGCTAGTACCGGGGTAATAATAATGATCAAATTCTTAATTAGGACTTCAAACCCTTACCAAAGCAGGTAAATTTGCATAATATATTAGTAATATGATATTTGTAACTTTATACAAGTCAGTGAATGAGACTGAATTCATAACTCTGATGACATGCTGCTATTCTGTATTTTCTCTGAGAGATAATATACCCGGTATATAGTACATGTACATACATGCCAGTGAAAATGAAACTGAATTTGTCAGTCAGTCTGTGTGCTGTTATATAGTATGAGCTGAGTATTGCTACAGTTTCTCTTTGAGACAATACTTGAAGTACATTAATGCCAGTGAACATGAAACAGTTCATCAGTCTGTTTGTGTGCTGTTATATCCAAGCAGTATAAGCTGAGTATTGCTTTAGTTTCTCTTTGAGACAATATTTGCAGTACATACATGTACATGCCAGTGAACATGAAATTGAATACAATTTGTCTGTTTGTGTGTTGTTACAAAGTAAGAGCTGTGTAATACTACAGTTTCTCTTTGAGACAGTATTTGTAGTACATACATGCCAGTAAACATGAGACTGAATTCATCAGTCTGATGGTGTGGTGCTATGTAGTACAAGTTGAGTATTCGAATCTGGAACACGCTGTAGTACGCACAGAAGCAGAGGTAGGCAATAATTAAAATGGATGACAACTGAAAGCAAACAGAACATATCAGGTTAAACACTGTATACATACAATGTATATCAAAGTGTGCATGACAACTTCAGCAAGAGAGAAATCTCCTTCTTGAAAGCCAAATATGAATGAAAAGAATAAATCATAAATGACTCAAAATACTATAGCCATGCTTTTTTCCACATGGGATTAATAATTAATTTATGCTATGTATGCAATCACAAATTTTCCATTAAAATTTGTCAGAGTATATTTATATTTCAATTTACAAAATACATTGGCACATAATTTTTGAGCCATGGATTGAACAGAAATTGTGATTTCAAGGAAATATGAAAGTGTGGGAAAAAAGTAAGTTTAAAATCCAAATTTACATTTTTTTTCATTAGATTTAAAAATATTCACTTGTCAATAATATTTAACATCTGTTTATTCAGTTGGATTAAACTCTTACCTCTATAAAAACATAATCATAGTTATGTTTTGCAGCATTGATGAAGACAGCAAACAGTGAAAGGACAGGGTCCTTGACAAAGAAGAGGCATTCTGACCACACCACCATAAAGGTCATGATGGCAAGAAGGATACCACACACCCTCATCAGCCAGAAATAGACCTTACACCGCCAGTACCACTCTGAAAATATAACAGTGTTATCTTCTGAATTTTTAATTCCAATTAAAAAAATCTCAACTTTCTTCTTCTATATAAATAAATAATCTCTATGAAAAATTTCCTTTATTTCTTTCAGAGTGTAACTTTTTAACTTTGCGTTAAAGAATTTTATATTCCCTAATTAGAATCATCTGATTCTGGTGTAAAACAAACAGTGAAAAAAGAAAATGTAATAACAGTTTCATAAATTCCTGGCATGTGTCAGCCATTTTAACTACATGTAAATGCAGAATACATACAAAGACTTAACACACCTACACAAAAAGCATCAAATATCAACATACCTACTGCAGGCGTGTACACAATGCGTACAAAAGCTGGCAATGCTGAGGCGGAATGTTGTGATCTCTGGAATTTATGAACTGCACTCTGTTCGTTCTTCTCCACATCTTCCAAAGCGATGGCTTTTTGCATCAGTGAGTTCCACTGGGCATGTGTGCGATGGTGATTTTGGGAGTCCCGAATGACTCGCTTGTGGAGTCTCACAAGTGTTTTTTCATTAGGAATGTCAACACTGCTCCTATTGTAATCTTCGTAGTCATCATTATTCTGTTTAACAGCATGACGCATTGTCTCGGGACACTGTGTGAAGACAAATATGTATATTTACTAAAAAAAAATTCTACAAATGATTCATTTACTACTGTATTTATTTGTAATTAACTTTCTAAAAGTCTTCAGATTCTTCTCTGTCATTAATTGTCATAACCTTCATAATGATGTTCATCTCATCTTTGTTATACTCCAACATGCTAGAGGTTCACAGCGAGATACTTTTGACTTGACAAGGTATGTAAGGAGCGTAGGGACGTTAATCAAGGCTCTAACTTGTAGGAGTAATCTTTGTTAGTGAGGAAGAAAATCATTCTTACTTACCTTTAGTAAAATTGTATCAACATGCTTCCTCAAAGGGTGGTTATACTTGATCTTCTCTGAAACCTTTTTGATCTCCTAATAAGTAGAAAAAAAAATAGAAAATTATCCATGAAGAAGAAACAACCAAAGAAAAATCATATTTCAAGGTACATGTACTACAAGTACATTAAAGCCTCTGTTTTTAAAGCTTACATCCAAGACATCTTCCAAAGCTTCATCGGCTTCTGTTTTATCAGTGCTGAGTTTGGAGATCTTGAAATATGTTTTGGACAGGACGAATCCCTTTTTACAGCTGTTGTACACAGATCTAGGTACCTCCACCAAACCATAACCAAGCAACAGAATCAACAGAAAGAGACCCCAGGTATTGCTGGCTGTTATTCCTATAACTTTTAATCTTTCTCTAAAAAATGAAGGAAAAAAACTTAACATGTGATGAGTAAAATGAATAATAAAATTGTACATCTTAAAAAAAATATTTTTCAGTTTGTAGTACTTTAGTAAAGACTGTCTTTAGACATCACAATTGTTAAAAATATTTATCTTGTTTTAAATGAGGTAAAATAATCTTAATGTTGGTGAGTAAGAATTGGCCAAATAATCATACTAATTATAGGTTTATAAAGAAAGTTTTGATTCTTACGCATCAACTTGGAGATCTGCTTTGGCAACAACATAAATCAAGCACACTCCAAATATCAGTAAATAAGAACCGTAGTATATGGCGTTTTCTATCAGAGCAGTCTTAATCTTGCCAGCCACGGTGAAGTCACCAGCTGTGGAATAGGACTGCATGAGTGGTAAAATTATCCTGGAAAATAACAAAATATTCATAAAATATAACAATTTTCTTAAAATACATGCATATAGAGTAATACACTGCATTGTTTAATACTGATCAATAGCAAGATCAATGATTGGTATGTTAATTTTGAAAGGGGGGTGTAACAGTTACTGTAAATCACTTTTTATTCGCGAGAACTTTATTTTCGCGTAATTACGCGAGACAAAGTGCTCGCGAAAATATTATTCTCGCATATATTAGTGTTCCTGTGGATTATATAAAGCAATCACCACAATTCGTGAAAATTTTGTCTCGCTCATAAAGAGGCAATGACTATCTCGCGAAAATAAGGTGTCGCGAAAATTTAGTGATCTACAGTATTAAAAGAATTACGTTTCCATCTAAATGCATATTTTAAATTCTATTTATTATGCATTTATTTGTGTGTGTTTATAACACTAAAAAACAGTACTCCATAAAATCCAGTCTTAATAGATACCATGTTAACAGTTGTGATGTCCAATAAACCACTTGCCACAGAGTGGGTAAAACATTTTCTGGAACATGGCTGAGTGGGATTTCACATGGAGAAACATGAACTTGACCAAGGCTCTGTACAGCAGGTGTGGAAGATGCAGAAGTTGCTGATGTGTTTCCATCTGCTGTTGTCGTTACATTTAAAAATTTGGGAGTTGTTGTTGTAAGAATTCTTGGGGCTTTGTCTTTCAAGCATTGTCGATAAAATGTCTGCCATGAAATAAATATACAGTCATGTATTTTGTTTATATAACTCATCTTGATCTCTTTTCATGTCATGTTCAAATTATTTTACCTTATATAGATTCATATGAAAATTTGAAAGTAATTTTCTTTCTTTTGTTTTGTTTTTTTTGGTAAATTCTTCAAAATTAGCATTTAAATTGAGTATTCTAAATGCATTTTAAAATAATTATTACACAGAGAAAAAAACCTATTTGTTAAAACTTACAGAAGAGACATCCAGTGGCAGTACAAATATGATCAGAAATGAAAAGTACCAAGCGATGAATGTTATTAAAGTTGTCAAAATATTCTGCTTTCTGAGATCCCCATATCGATGCAACAAGAAAGCTGCCAAGCAGCAAGTACAAATCACTTCAATTACTAATGGTCCTGCACTCATCTTGCAAACTGTTTAAAAAATATATAAATATTATAAATATATAATTTTTTGAAATATATAATTCAAAAAATATTAACTGTATTTTTTATGAAGAACAGAATCATATAGCTCAATAATATTTATATGAAGTTGAACGTCTTTTGTTTTCTTTTCATAAATTTTCACTTGTTTATCAACTTCAAGAAATGTTATCAATATTAATACTAAATCAGTATTCTGCATATTATAATACATGTGCAAAGCCAAGGGGCACCTGTGAAATTTAAAGCCTTCCAGCTATAAAACTATCGCAAAAACCTCATAAATTCCAAAAGATAACTTGCAGATTTTCTTACCCTGCAAACTGACTGGTTCCTAATCTGAAATGTTAATATTTTACATAAGAAACGGTCAATATTTTCCATCTTCTGGTTTTGGCAGCTGATGAAGTATGACGTGTCTAGGTAAGTCGTACTTTGAAGGCATTGGGTAAAACTAGTGTATTATCCATTTCAATCAGATCGGGTTCGTCCTTGCTGTTAAACGAGCAGACGGAATTTTCTAATTTGTATGGTTATGGTAATGAAAACATTAATTTGATTTAAGCCAGTTTTATATCCAAAATATCATAAGGTTTCGTCTCAATCACATTGACGGATAACGAATTAATGTTCGTTATAAAATTTGGACGAGCATCCTTGGAAATGTGTGTTGCATTTAATTTTCATCAGATCTGTCTGAGTGACTGTAATTTTGAAAAAAAAAGTTTTTTTTTAAACAGCTATAAGGATTGTGTATATTTTTAAATACATATGTTGAATATATCTCTAAATATCAACATTTTGACAAAGTCTGTTCTCATTTTGTGGACTTGAGGCCTGCATTCAACATATTGTATTAAACGGCTACATACTCTACAGTCTATGTATACTATGTAGCCTCAACATAAGGCTATTCTGAATGGAGAGTTCATTACATAGGGAGAGCTAGTATATATATTTCATGCTATATACAGTGTACCAAATTCACATGCTATATTCAGTGTACCAAATTCAAGATATCCCTTTTAGTTACAACTTTGCAATTCACACAATTCAGGAATTCTTCTCCACATAATTTCCGCTTGAAATAAAAAGTTTTATTTTAAAAGTAATTAAGTTTTTCATGATATATTTCCATTCTAAATTTATAGAGCTTAACAAGTTAGTTGTTTGCTCAATACACTACACTCTACAAAGATAGATATCTACAACCTAACTGCTAGATTAGCTCCTACAATCTTGAACGCAGTCCTGGCTAGGTACCTATAGAACAGATGCTGTTAGAGTCAGACTGACATGTTCTAGGTCTAATACCCAGATGCTCAGGCCGATGTTCATGGCATTTAAAATTTTCTTTTCCCATGAACTCTTAAAAATGCTTATAATACCTGCTACCTAAATAACTTACTGAATTAATGTAATTATAGCACTTTTTTTATTATATGCTAAGAAAATGTTTTCTGATTACAATGCATTTATAAGAGGATTTTTTTTCATTTAACAGTCATAATATTGAGGGGAAAGGAAATCAGCTTCACTATTGATGAAAAGGACTTCAGAAGCCAAGGAATGGACAACTGTACAGAGTACGAAGGAGAGGCAATGATACACCTAGCAGAAGGAAACTTTTCCAACTGGAAATAGAGACTGAGAAGATTAATTCTAAAATGTATAATAATATTTGCATGCAGGACTTTTTATTTTTTTTTTTAATGACTTCAATATTGATGTATTTTTAACCCTCTGACCCCCTTGAAAAAGTAGGGGTTGGGGCATATATTGTTGGTTGGTAGACCAGTTGTCCTCATTATCTGAAGAACCTTTTGTTTGTCAGACATCAAACTTGGCACACTGGTACACTTTTAGGATTAGGTGAACCATATTGATTTTTAGGTCTTAAAATCAAATCAAAGGTCAAATTACTCTAGGCATGGGAACATCTTGTATCTTCAATGTTTTGAGAACACTGACTTTGCTTGATTGGCCAACATCATACTTTAAAGACCAGTTTTCTTTAGGAATATCACTATATGACCCCTATTGAATTTAAGGTCACAATCAAAGGTTAAGGGTCAAACTGGGCTAAGGAATATGTAGACTATTCAATATCATAATGATATGAATCCTTTGCTTGACATGCTTACTTTAAATGTACATGTATTACTATATTGGCTCCCCCTTGGGATTAGACAATTAGTTAATGTTGAGGTCACAAGGTCAAGGGTCAAATAACATTAACACGTCTGTCATCGTCATTGTTGTTGTTGTAATCATAAACTTTTCACATTTTCATCTTTTCAAGAACCACTGGGCCAATTTCAACCAAACTTGCCACAAAGTATCTTTGGGTGAAGGATATTTCTAACTGCTACATGAACCCATATATTTTTCTCAAACAATGCAAATATGTGATTTTAAAGGAGTGAGTACTGTAACCAAGACAATATTTAACAAACATCAGTTATTTTTTTTTTGCATTATCTTTATTAACGATTAAATTATATGTGAGAATGATACAGTTGAAAATATATAGAGAGCCTAGCTTGCATGATTAAATGTACAATAAAGTTCTTGTTAAAAAAAAGTGATTTAAATTACAGCACGTACTTTGATGTTTTCTTTAACATTTCTTGTTAACTTCTCATTTAGGTTGATATATTATAGAGGTTGACTTTATCCAGGATTTTTGAACAGGTCACTGGTGCTCCCAGAGATCAAGGAAGCACTCCAATAAACTTCTACAGGTAAGTGGTCTAGCTGTTGCTTACTGCAGCCATAAGTTATAATCTGTGTAGTGCTGTTTGCTATTCTCTTCAGACTTAATCATTTCCAAACTTTTAATTTCTGTTGTCTGATCAGGCCTGACATCAAGAAATGAGAGAGTGGGAACCTTCTTGTGTTGCTTAAAGTCATTGATCTTATAATAAATAATTGACATGTGGGTCATTAACTTCCTTTCACACATTCGGATGCAAACTTAATAAATGTTACAAAGACATGCTACTTTGCATGCTCTTTAGTTTTTCTCCATCCAGTTTGAATTTTAGCTTTGATAGTCTTCAGTTAAAATACTAAATGATGAATTGTTTTTAAAATCAAAATTAAACATTTGTGCCAAATTAAGTTGAAGAAATTTTAGAGGCTGGTGTATAAGTTATAGCCGTTTTGAATGGATTTTTCAAACCTACAAAGTATTGTGTCAATTAATGTATTATAAAAATTAAGAGTTTTTCATTTGGGAAATTTTGTTTTTAAAAAATCACATTCAAAAACTATATTGACTTGCAGTTGATATATTTTAGTGATAAATTAAATGTATGTTTTTAACCAGACAAGGAAATTGAATCTTTAAATAAAGTCTGCAGGTAACAAAAAAGCTACCAGGTTAAGCCTTTGTTTGCAGTTGTAATCTCAAAACAGCACATTATTAAACCTTTATTAAAATACATGCACTACTGATAGAAATCCTTATCTTTTTGTTATTGATGAGTCTATAATTCAGTAAAAAGGGGGTAGAACCTGGATGTATTAATACATCTTGATTTTATATGTATACTAGGAAAAAACAAGTATTGTTGATAAAAGCAGGGTTTATTATCAGTTCTGTAATTACACCTGTGGGTCTAGACATCGTACATAGATAAATAGATTTTATCTCACATGGTCCATAAAGCGTTAAGTGTCCAAGCAAATTGACATGCACTAGCATTCACATATGGACATATGGCTCCTATTGTTTAAGGAAAAAAATTCATCTTGCATAATTAATTTTAAAAATTTAAAAAGCAATGCAATAAAACAGTGGAATGATTAAATTCAGTGAAAATTGTGATGAATCAAAGACACTGTAAGTCACTATATAAATCAGATGTGATATCTCAGTCAATATTTTATACATTTGTCTCAGCTTTTTAGCAAAAAAGTATAACTGTGGGGGTGATAGTGAGAAAAGCACATGTGTTTATGGAATACATACAATTTATATGAATTATGATGCATCATAAATTTTAATCAAATTGATTTTCATTAGTTTAATTCACTTCAAGTTCAAAGATGTAATTTTAATTCTGTTTCTGAAAACTTAAAAAAAAAAAAAATTGATCCAGAATTAAGTGCATATCCTTTTTTTCAAAACTGCATCAGAACATTTTATATACCTGTATAGCTAGTTTGAAGATTGAACATAGTTGGCCTTGATGTATACTTTCATAAGTTTTAAAAAAGATAATAAAGCAATAAAATGTTCCACTATATTTCAAGTAGCCCCATAAAAATAAAATGTCTTGACAAGAGTACTGGTAGATATTTATAAAGACAAGCTAGGTAAAGTCCAGTTGCGCATTATAATCTCGTGTGACAAGGGTTTTCTTGAGAATTGTTAGAAATCTCCCCCTACCCGATAACCTCTTTTATAGATTGTATTGAGTGTTAATATTCAAGTTCAGAACACAGAGTACTGATAGAGGTTCGTTTCTAAACAGAGGGAAAAGGGTATGTAATCTAGCAAATAAAGAGTGGGTAAGCTTGGCATTTTTATGTTACCGCCGAAATCAGGGGTGTGTCTCCAAGATATTTCAATGTTTATGTTCGAACATGAAATACCTGGATATCTGCAGGTGATTATTTACCTTTCTTTGGGTCATTCCGTGATTTGGCAGAGAGATTATTTATGTGTATGTACATAACATCCCATTTACTGTTCTTAGGTAGTGGGAGCATTGTTTTAGCTCATGTTAATGTAAGAAAAGTGGACCATTGATGATATATAGGAATTAATTGGATTTCCCTTGATTTCTCTGAATAGGAATGTTTATGACATCATCAGGTATATATTAATAGAAATTTTTAAAATAGATTTTATTGATTTAAAACAAATAAATGAATTTTAAAAATATTCTAATTAATATCATTCTTTATAAATATTTTACTGAATTTATCATTGAATGATTATACTTTATAGAGGGTAAATTATTTGTAACAGTTTGTTTTAATTCCTACATTAAATCATTTCTGAATTTGAAATTACACTATTCAACTTTTTTGTAGGGGAAGGGGGGGTGTAATAAAATTTTGTATGACTACTTGAAGGAAAATATTGATAACAACCAAGTATCTACTGCACATGGTCCCAATGAATCTCTCATGAATATAAAACTCAGAGACAATAATCTGTTTGTTTGTCTGTAAAAGGAATTTAAAAATTGACTGAAGCAATAATTCTCACTGGTGACTTGGGAAATAAAATGTATTGACATCCACACTTTAAGTACCATAAACCTGTGGGAACAATATCAAAAGAATATTAAAACACATTATGTCCTGAAGGGTCAAGACTATAAGTACACAGTTAACATTTTTGAGGAGTTTGATTAAACCTTTAGGCCAATTGTTTTATCAGTTCTTGTGAATCTTGTACAGGTGGACAATTTTGTGATGGACTTTATGACCATTTTCTCACATTTCTTTATTTTGATAAATATCAAATATGATCGAATGTTAATGATAATATTATATCAGGGCAATATGTTTTGTGGCAGGCCTCTAATCAGTTCATGTATCAAAATGTGTGTGACAAAACAATCCATCAAAAAAAAATTACAGAGAGCTGAATAATTGTGAAATCCATTCTTTTGCATACAGCCTTTGCTTCATTGAACACATCTATACACCTTATCAATTATTGTAAATATTTTTGAAAATTGAAAGTAAGTAAATGAAATGAAGCATTCTAGGATAAAGTGAAAATGAAATCATGTATACAAGGGATTAGTATTAAATACATATAGTTTTTCATAGTTTAATCAACAATCAATATTTTCAAGGTAAGCATAAAATCTTTTACACAGAACATGTGAATGCTTTTAATTATAATTAGTAATTTTGTTTCTTTTTCAAATAATGTGAAGGGAAGAATTCCTTTGAACTGATTTATAAAAAGGAGTGAAGTTGTGTTGTTTATGTATTTGTTTAAAAGTATTAACTTCATTAATCATTTAGGAGTGTCAAATTTTGATATGTTCTATTATCATTAAAATATTGATCCATGCAAATTCAGAGTGTAGGACGAATATATATATTGGTTGACAATTAATGGGTAGCTTTTATTACTCAGTTATTGATTTTGGAGAGGTTCTTGACTTTTTATGGGTGTTAGGGTGAAAAAACTAGTCATGTGAATTAAAGTTTACCCTAATTACAATTAAATGCATCATAGCCGTTAATACTTTGACAGGAGGTCTAACGTCTTACTGTCATGTTGAAGCTTGCACCTGCTGTTAGGATGAAAATTTTAATGAATCAGGGAGAACGGACATACATCTGTCCAGTTTTGGACATTTCTCTTCATTTTGATCTTTATACCTGGACAGGGAATTTAGAAAGTATTTGTTCAAGTAATTGGGTTTAAGCAACCTATGGTTAAAAGAAGATTGGATTCTTTAAGAAGGTCTCCCAGTTCAAGATATAAGTCAACAAATGGCGGGATATGTATTGAAAGGGATAGAAATGTAACAAAGTAATCAATTCTCTCAAGTTCCACAACTGTAAACAGTCTTTGTGAAACGTTTTCATTCATTTAGACAGATTAATTGAAGCATAGATAAAATATTTTGTTAGAAGTCAAGAACATGAAAGGGCTTAAATGGATAAGCAAGGAAGGAGTTGTTACAAAAAATAGTCATTATTGAAGGAAAATCTAAGAAACAGAATCTTTAAATGGGAGATAAACAAAATATTTCAATTAATGAAATTTTAAAATGTTTGTTACTTACAATGATAATTTATTTATTTTTTTCCCCCAAATTTGGGAAAAAAAATCATATTTCATGTGTTTTTATTTATTTTGTAACTAACAGATATTTTAAATCAATTAATATCTAACAAAAAAATATACACTGTATCTCAATAAAAAATATCAAATCTATCTACAATTTCAAAAGAAAATCTATGGTCCTTAATGGATTTAACTGAAAAATAACAAATAAGGTTTTTACTTTTGAAATATTATGTTTTGTTTTGGTGAAAATAGACAAGAAAGGAGTAAAGAAAGATTCTTGTGTACATTGACCAATTGTTGAATTGGAGGAAATTTTGATGTACATGTTTAGTGTAAATGTGAAAAAAAAGCTGAGATACCTGATATATAGCAAAGAAATCAATAAGTTTCTTTTACTAAATATGTTACTATAGAAACCCTTTTCTTTAGAATTGTTTTTTTTTCCTCATTGAGAACAACCTTTTAGTATATCGTTTCTAAAGACAAAATAAATTTGTTGTTCTTTAAGGCATTCCCCTTTGTGTTCTAATAAAATGTTATAATATACCCATGCAATATGTTATTGGAGTCCAGCCGCTTCCTCTGTTAAACCACTGTTTTAGCTGTATAAAGGAGAGGGGTTGCTTTGCTTATTGATTTTGCATGAATTAAATCCATTAGACTATAGTCGCGTGTGTGCCGTACAGCGACTGTGTTGTGTGGAAGCTTGTTAAAGCTACAAATTGTCCAGGTGTGCTGAGTGAAAAAACCATTCTTTATTATAATGGAAGAGTTTAATTGACTTGAATTTGTTCATCATGGATTAAAGGAACTTCTCAACAATGGTGAGTCCATTGTGATTTTTCTGATATTCGGCCAAAATAAAATACAGGTACGTGCATCGAATTCAGGTGTGGAGTTCTCCAGGTTCCGTGTTTCAGCAGTTCGTTTTATTGGCTTGTGATCTTTAAATGTTTCAACAGTAAGTCATTGTTTAAGGGCTATATATTGGTAGACATGTTTCAGTAGACACTTAACCGGTGGGCATCTCATTAAAATCCGAACTGATTTGCAATTGAAATCAGGGTGGACCTTAGACTGACCAGGCCTGCGGGCCAAATATTCACACTTTTCAATAAGGTATGAATTAAACATGTTGACAAGGAAATTATAATATTATCTTGCGTATAAAATAAATATTATGCAAAAAACACTGTATACTAACGGTACATGTATTGAAAAACAGCTTGTAAAAGGGTGTGTCACTTACAAGTCAGGCTTCTGTCAGCTGATAATCAATGTATTGTAGATCAATTCCTAATAAGCTGGATTAATATTTCATTATATTCTGTAACTCTCTGACACATTGACCATGTAGTGGTAATAGTTTTTATATAAAAGTATTAATCTGTATAGTATGTCACTTAGATTCATCCAATTCAGTTTGGCTATTTTTCTCTCTCTCTCTCTCTCTCTCTTGAGCTTTCTCTCTCTCTAATTTGCCTTTTCATCTCTCTTACTCCCTCTCTCCCAGATTTTCTTCAGTGATATATGCAATATAACACATGGCTGCTCAATAAGATTAGAGGGCTATAAATGCCAATGATAAACCAATATCGTTATAATTATGACAGTCCTTTCTGGATTTGTAATTGGGTTTTTAAAGTTGACCGATGAAAGAAAATCATTTAAGCAGAAAAAAGGGTTAGAGATACCAATCTTAGCACACTGTGAAAGTTGCATGAACCATCCTGACGAATTGAAATAAGGAAATATTTTTGTTTTACGCAGATCATCACATTTTTATATATTTAATAAAATCATTTGAAATTTATTCAACATTTTTAAGGAAGTTTATGACGTTTTTGTTTTCCATTTTGTTTTGCTTTAAGATTGCATACTTGAAAAATAATGTATGAAATGAAATGGGATAACTCTGAAATTAAAGCATTCTCAAAGAACTTTATTCGGTAATAACCAATATTTGCCTCCAAAATCAAACTTTGATGGAGATATATTTAATTAAGTTCTTAAACAGGGGGGTATATGCTGACTTCAAAGCACTGAATATTTTCATAAGTAATGAGGTCATATGTACATAATGACGTCACAAACATGACGTAAATTTCGGTTTTTATGAATTTTACAGAAAAATGTACATATTTTGTCGATATTTTGAGTAAAAGTCACCGAGCGCATTTGTGTTCAGGATCAATATTTTGATATAATGTGTAGAATGATAATATCAATGAAATATGTCTATATTGTTCCTGAACAAACTTGCGCTCTATAAATTTAAAAGCTAAAATTGTTGAAATTTTGTCCATTTTGTCCTCTTTCTGAAAAAGGATATAACATCGGACTAGTTTGTGACGTCATAAAAACAAAAATTGTGAATACACTGCTTTGAAACTATAATATTTTCTGTTAATTTATATTTCTCATACAATTTATGAATTCAGCACATTTCAGGAAGTTTTCAAAATTTGACTTTTGTGGGGGCAAATATATGCAATATACCGCACATAGTTCTTTGAGAACTTTTATTTTTAATTATAACTATCGTAAATAGTTTCATTTATTTATTTAAACTTTCTAAAATTTGAAAACTTTTTTTTTTCAATTACAAAAATTTTAAACAGTTTCACACTTAATAAAACTTTCTCAAAATTGAAAACACAATTTTATTGCTTCTTTTAATTATAAATATTCTAGTAGGCTGTTTTGTTCATTAAAAGGTCCCTCTCTTACTCAATATTGAGCAGCAGTTCCATGTTAATCATTAAATATCATAAAAGACTGTACTTAATCCAGCATAACTGAGAAGCAGAAATTTCAAATGAATGCTTGAAGGGTCAGGTGCAGATTGAGTACAGGTCTGGAAATGTTGTTTATTGGTAACATTAATGTAAACCATGAAGTGATAATTAGTCTGCTGGAAGCTTTCATATTGTGCCTCATGGTTAGTGATCTGCTGTTAAATACCTCCTATTAATTATGGACATTTGTGTAATGGGGAATCCAGATTTATCCAATATTGCCTATATTTCTTACAAAAATTTATGTTATGAAAAAAAGTTTAAAAATTTGCAATCTAAATATTTGAAAGATATTTCAGTACATGTATTTGCATATGCCAAAATTCTTTTTATTCATAGAGGGAAAGAAATACAGTGTACTTCTTTTATACATTTCCTTTCAGATTGTGGATTACTTGCTGAAAAATGAAAGATATTTGGGAATGACTATACTATTTATATTATACTCTCTGATCCTTAGTCATTATTTTTGTCTGGAGGTCATGTTAATAAAGTTATCACTGATCACTATCATAAAGAAACTATACATACCTGATCATTTTACTATAAAACAAAGATAAATTCACTCGCATATATACTAAAAGGATTGTAAAATGAATATTATTTACTGAAATTGAGGCTCTTAGGTGAGAGGAGAATATATCATACATCTAGCATGCAATATACAACTATTTTGATTTTAAATTATTTTATTTTTACTTTATTTTTAGATGAGCTGTTTTATTAAGTGAACACATTATCACTAGTGTGAAGGAGATGAAGTCAGCTGTTCTGAGGTTGTTACTGGGCCTAGGAATTCTCTGTTTAGGTATTTTTTAATTTAAGAAAAAATGTAATTTAGAACTTGTATAATTTTATTTTAATTTTGAAATGTAAATTTAATTACTTCAAATATGATTCAAGCAATTTTTAGATGTAACTTACATTTATTTTATAGATAATATGTTTAGCAATGTTCAGATTGTTTAAAATCTTGCATATATAGGTCTACCTTCAGTACCTTGTTTCTTAATGACTGAGTTATTGCGCTATTGCTACATGTATCTTTTTGTTCATTCTTGTGTGAAATGCATCTCCTGTCAGTTGTAAAATTTTGAACAATTTCAGCTTCTTCTCTGATTAACCAATTTCAATCAATTTTGATGTTTAAGAGGAAAAAAGGGGGGGGGGGGCTAAGAAGTGTTGTACCAAACCCATCAAAATTAATGCAATCTTATAAAATATTCAATATATACATGTACTCCTGAAATCAAGCAGTCACTTTTTTTGCATGGTTATTTTAAGCAATGAGCCCTCTACCAAAATTTTGAAATTATGAGGTTCAACTCTAGGCAGTATTATAAGTTATTTATCTTATGCATTTTGTAAAATTTTCTCTTTTTTTCTCATGGACATCTTATAAACAGACTGTCTGGTTGATTAAAATTAATACTCAAACTTAACACCAAAATTGAGAAACTTATACCTGATGGGTCTATGGTTCTGGCCCATGTATTGGGCTTAGTTAGTCATATACTGAAAATGTGTGTAAAAATCTTCTTCTCTACTCATTGAGATTTATCTGGAAAACTGTTTAAATAAATTGCAATAAATCCACAACCCTCTATCAAAATTGTGAAATTAATGGTTCCTTTATTGGACTGAAGTTATCCTATATTGAAAATACATTACAACTTGAAAATCTCTCTCATTACATCTTGCACAGAAACTGTTTTCAGCTTATAATAAGCACTTAATTCTGTACAAGAATTGTAACTTAGTGCTCCCAAGACCATGGTGAAGGATAAGGCCATAAGGGTGGGGCTAAGTTGGTCATACATAATAAATCCTCATTGGACTCATGGGCATTTAGCAGGCAATTTTGTTTCTTTTGATTGAAATAAGCAGATGCAGTAAAACATGCTTATAGCGAACATGCTTTTGAATTGACAATTATAGCAAACTGATTTTCATTCCCTGTGTGTTTTAAAGATATTGTGAAGCTAACAAATATTACATTGTTTTATAAAAATTATTGTCCCCACCTTGTTATATGACAATCATCAGCTACATGTATTTAAAAATTCTTGTCCCCATGGAAATTGAATCAGGACCCAGGGTGGTCCTTAGCTTCTCATTTATTGAAATTTTTGTGCTTTACCTTCTTTGCACCTGAACATCTAGGGGACATGCTGCATAAATATATAATCTAAATGATAATAAAGAGTGCCACCAAATTATTAACTTTTTGTCACCAAGTCCAGAGACCAATTCCAGGTGGGACCAGTTGGTTATATAGTCAGGAAAATCATTAATTCTCAGGTGACTCTCAATGCCCATAGGCCTCTTACATTCTTTCAAAATTGTTATTCAATTACATAAATTTGAGAAAAACAAAAAATAATTGAGCTGTTTTCATACTACATTGTATATGCTTGCAAAAAAAAAATAAATAAATAAAAAAAAAATCAGAAGATAATTTTTTTCCAAAGAATATATGTATAGCACAAGGCAAGGCAATGATAAATATTCTTGTTCTATTGCTCCCCCCCCCCCCCTCAGTAAAAAGTTAATTGTTTAGTTCAAGCCATAAAATTGACTGTCGGTTTTTTTTTCTTTGTCATGAAAAACATTGATTGTGAAACTGTCTTAACCATTGTTTCATTGATCCTGTACAGTATTAAATTCACATTTCTAAGATATCCTCAATTTGTCATATGTTATCTACCCCACAATTGAAAAAAAACAAAAACTTGTACCTTGATCTGGTTACATGTACTGTATAAGCAGAATTTTTAGTGAGGATTCAATTTTGGCATTATTTGACAGTGTCATGTGGCTAAAATTGAAAAAAAAATTTAATTACGCTTTTTTTCATAGCTTCAGGAGTTTTTTGCTAAAATATTTCTAAAATGTAACTTGTACTTTTATGTTGTTGAATTATATGAGAGCTTAGTGCATGTTGGTTAGTGGTTAAATAACTTCCTTCTTTATATGAATCATCAAGGTAAAACAATATTTGAAGATCATTGGTATAGAGAACATTATGACACCAAATTTTTTTTGCTAATAACTATTCCATAGAAGTCACATAAATCATCGATGAAAAGATACTAAGCAAATAAAAATGATCATATAACCATATTTTTGGCCTCTCATCAGGCTATTTTGGTTATTAAATGAAAATTTATTAAAATAATCAAGCATCCTTGAATTTATTGGATGCAATAACCATATAATATATGTATTGGCATAAAAATATCATTTATTGCAACATAAATTGCATATGAAGTTTGCAATAAAAATATCAAATCTAGAAATCTCTGCTGAAACTGGGAAATGCAATTGACTTTGGAAATGATTCATTGGCTTTATCCAAGGGAAAAATGGTTTACAGTTAGAGAAATAAGTTCTGTTGAGAACTTGTCTGTAGTTCATTTTCAGGGCATAACTGGATTACCCTAAAAAATTTGTTTTGAGAGGAAACTAGTATGCTAGCAGGCATGACCTTTCTTTTTGATCATAGGGCCTCAATCTGGAAATTTGGTCTCACATTGCAATAAATGACCAATTATTCAGACTCTATTCAATTCTTTTTTCAGGCCTAAATGCAACCAATAATCCACCAACCCTGCTGAATTTCAACAGATACATCTTTGTCAAGGAAAATTTTCCAATAAGTAAGGGATTTCTAAATGTCAGTTGCTACCAATAATAGAAGATGTAGATGATTTTTTTTTACTCTTACAAAATGTAATTTGTACTATAGAAGATATTAAAAAATGAAAGTTGACATATTGGTATTTTAAAAATAAGTTCCCTATTCTGATACATTGTTTTGTTTTTTTTTTTTTGCTTTTAATATGTTGCTTTAAGAAACTATATAATGATAGAAATATTGTATGTATATTATAATTTTTCAAATGCACTCAATAGTTAAAAACAAAATGTATGTTTAGAAAGCAGAGCTAAGATTTTCAGTAACTTTTTTTCTCATTAGATGGTAGCCTTGGAATTCTGTCCGCCAGGGATCAAGACGGACCTGACCAAATCACATTTACAATTAAAGATGATGTTACAAGAGGTCTGGTGCGCTTGAGTGAGCATTTCGGAGACAGCACAGTGAATAGATCGGTGGAGATTATTTTAATCAAACAACTTGATAGGGACCATGTAAGTATATTGATTGACACAGAGCTTCTTAGAGAACACTAAGAATATTTCCCAGAGGATGGAACGCCCCAATGAGTATCTTGTGCATATAGTCAGAAAGCTTTGTAATGTGCTAGGAAAACAAGTGTATTGTGCTTTATTGTAGAGTGTTAATTTAAGGAATATTAATTAAATTAAAATTAATTTGCAAAGATTTTTCTTAGATTAATTGTTTTGTTAGTATTAGTTGCATAGTAAATCGAAAATCACAGAAAATTGTGAGTTTTTAATGCCTGTTCTAAAATATAATCACATGAATATATTCTAATATGCCATTTGAAAATATGTACATGTAATCTATAGAAAATTAAATTTTTTCAATAGTTCAATGAGATACTTTAGTGCATGAATTAAGTCTATACAACATATTAGTCCTTGGAGTGGATGTTTACTTTCTCTCCAATTTTTTATGTTCATTAAAAGCTAACGTTTATTGATGAAAATTGAAAAACTAGATCAAACCATCAAGTTGAATCACAATCATTTTGTTCTGTAGCTCCTTGTTTGTATGATTTAGACAACTAAATCAGTAAACAAGTCTGTTATCCAATTACCGAGCTCCTGACTGTGATGAATATGTACTGTGTTTCAGGAACCAGCAGACAGAAAGCTGTACTTCAATCTGGCGGATGGACAGGGCTCCAGTGCTAACAATGTGAGAATTAGATTTGTGACTGGCAAGTCGCTTCATTTACAAGGCCATTACCACTATAATAGGGAATCCCCAATCCATTTGGTGCCGCACACTTCAGTTCCCTTATGGGAGTAGCATATTTCTTCACTGCTATAACTTATGACTGATGGTCAATATTTTGCCTCCCAAGTTCTATATAGATGAATTATTCAATGTAGAGTGATAAGGGGGAGAGTATAATTACTTCTTCTAAATAACAGTGCTAATGTACCATACTGAAAATGATGCAGTCAAGATGATTCATACAATATATTAATTAACTGATATTTCAACAGAAAAACTCATTATATATAGTGGTACATATATTCAAGGTGAACAACGATTTTAAATATTAAATTGGAATATGAAGTAATTTTAATTTGCCCTAGCTGCCATTCTTGGAAACACTTTTCACAAAAGTTATTGCCCTTTGACTTTGAACTACAGATGTACATGTCTTCTAATTTGTACAAATTAAGATTACGGAATGAATGCCATTTTGGGGCTTATTTTCACCATTTTCAGACAGCTAAATTATGTCATGATATTGCAAATGATTCAAGGAAACAAAAGCAAGAATATATGATATTCTACTTTATTTCATTGTTATCCATTGAAATAATTTTCATCATAGGACTTTTGGTACCACATAAGCAGAATTTTTAGTAAGGATCTATATTTTTGATATTATTAGCAAGGGTGCTGAGATAGCTAAAAGTGAATATTGATAAAAATTAATTGTGTTTTATTTGTAAAAGGTTCGCTAAAATATCTACTTTTATGGTATTTAAAACACAATGTGGGAAGGGACATTTTGTCATATTGACACATCTAGTCCATCCAGTTTTGTTTTCTTAAATTTCATATTTGATGCAATTAATTACTATATAAAATATAAACCAATTAATTATAGTATAGCCTTTATTATTGTAGTTGGCAGTTCAAGTGACACTCTATATTAGTGATGTCAATGATGAAGTACCAGAGTTTGTCAACCTACGTTATAAAGAGTCTGTATATGAGGTAATTATAGGCACAAAACATGAAATAGAAAATAAATTCTGTTCAAACTGAGTGGTGTGTTAGAGGTATGCTTGGAAATCTAAGAGAGTTGTAAATAAATGAGAGACATTGATTGTTATAACAGATACTTTTTAGTGAAATTATTTATATTTGATATGGTACCAGCGCTGCATTTCATTTCCGGAAATATGCATAGCATTTCCGACAATTTTTTATTTCATTTCCGACATTTTTTGTTTTCATTTCCGACATAATTTTTTTTTCATTTCCGGAATTTACCTGTGCGACAATTCAATGTTTTCTAAGTAAAAGAAAATGGAATTTTGAATGTATTTATACCAAAATATTAACAACAAAAAAATAACAAAAAAAAACATCTTTACATATATGCATACATGTAGGACTAAGTCTAGTTAAAGGAGTTCAATGTGCATAAAACTTTTTCAACACATTTAATGTACGCTACATTATATGTAAGTGACAGCAGCATACTTATGTCCAAGTCACTGATAGATTTACAAAATTGGATTTCGATGATTTGTTGATAATTTATTCCTTAAATTTTTCATAAGGAAAGTTATCAAATCTGTTACTATATTTATACTACATATGTATTTGAAAAATGTCGGAAATGAAAACAAAAAAATGTCGGAAATGAAAACTACAAAATGTCGGAAATGAAAAGTTGATAATTACCAAAAATTCCGGAAATGAAATGCAGCCGGTACCAGGTACCGTATAATCCCCATTAACCACCCCTATAAGCGCCCCTATGGCTTTTTCAATTGTCAGGAAATAAGGGCCCCCTTTACAATGATTAAAATAATCTAGAATCATATCAAAAGTCTGCCAAATTTTAAAGAAAATGAAAATGATACTTGTCTATTATCCAATTTCTCGGTGGAAAAATTAATCATTTAGCATAATTTGGTTGTATTATCTTCACTTACATTATTTTAGTGGTTCTTTGATTTTTTTTTTTCAACAGAATTTTAAAAGTAAAAATATGACAAAAATTATAAAGAGAATACCAAAATAACTGCCCCCATTTCGCAATTTTCTAAGTGCCCGGGGCGGTTACCGGTAATAGGGATTATACGGTATTTTGAATTTTCGCAAAAGCATAAATTTTTCATGAGATATATTAGTTGGCTGTTTTATCAATGAAATAATCTGGAGAAATTTTTTTTGTCTCATAATTTACCTGCAGTTGGGCTAACTTAACTAAATCATTAAAAAAAATTCTTGAACTAGAGATGATGTGCCATTCAGATAGTATATTTTAATACACAAGAAATTTGTTTTCTTTTAATCAGTTTATTCACTTATTGTATTATACCTAGAATGCTACAGTTGGAACGACAGTTATAAGGGTTTCTGCCCAGGACCCAGACAATGGTTTAGGTGGCACCGTGTCTTACTCAATGGAGGTAGGAATTCAAATCTTACTGAAACGTCAGGAGAAAGTTATCCAGAACTCTTATCAAGCAAGAAATAGATCCAATATGATTTTCTATTGAGCTTAATACGAGTATACATTAAATGAATATCAGTTTACCCTGCCAGGTAAATATATAATTTTTAAAGATTAAGTTGTAGATTTAAAAGATATTAACATTTTATATGAACTTGTTTGAATAATTGTACATGTACTGTTACTTCAATATTTTTGATGTTCTATCTTTTATGATATCTTACTATCTTTTAATTTTTTTTTCAGCCTGTAGCCCAGGTAATTATTTTTTCATTTTCACCGTCATATACCAGTAAATCTCCCATAAATACAGTCTGTATCTCAAATTGATTAAATCTGTTGAAGCTTAACTTCTATTTTTGTCCCTGTTAGTTAATGTAAGTTTTTTGTGGATATGCATGTAGTTCCTAATCAATTGAAATCTGAGAAGTTTCATGTATGAAGTATCTTTTTCATTTTGAACTTTAAATTTAAATTTAATAACATAATAATAGAATGAACGACTGATAAATGAAACACAGCATTCATTGTGATTTAATCAGTTATTAATGATATACTAGAAGATAAAAAGTTAAATTAATATGTTGTCATTAATTCCTCCTACACAGTTCGTTTTATATTTCAGGCTGCCGATGAACTGTATAAAAATGCCTTCCGTATTGACGGAGACACGGGAGATATCATCATTAACTCTTCCCTGGACTTTGAAAAGCACAACTTTTATGAATTTGTTATAAAGGCAAAAGTATGTACTAATAAATGGTTTAACCATATAGACATAAAGCGAAGGGAAGCTATGAAGAAAAATATATAACAAACTAAAGTGAGATATATTTGCCAAAAGTTTTGGTTTTTGAAATGCCATGATGAATAACAGGCCAGCTAGTCTATCCAGCTGTCAAAGAACCTTTTCTGATTTTCAGCTAAATGAACATTTATGAAATTGAATTAAGAAAAAACAACTAATGCTGCTGATTTTGATAGGATGGATTAGGCAGTGAGAGTACAAACAACGCTGACTTTGTATTAACCGTCCTTGATGTACAGGACACGCCCCCTTCCTTCTTCAATCTACCTTACAGTGTTGTCGTGCCAGAGGACAAAGCTGTGGTGAGTAAAGGAACTTTTTCTCTAGCAAAAAATATTTTTCAAATATGTTTCTCACTATTCTGGCACATAGAATGGGGTATTGTACTGTGGGTAATGTATGGGAAATTTTAAGATTTTTATACCTGTATGTGATCTTTTTTCATCTGAAATTTGTTTGTATATTTTCATATGATGAAGAACATTTGCATATATGTATTACATAATTACAACTTCACACATAATTTTATTATCACATTTTTACATGAAATTAATTTTAGGGTTCACAAGTCCTTCAAGTTACAGCATTGGATGGAGATAGAGGGGTTCCAAATGGTATCAGATACACATTTGTTTCAGGTAATTGATATTTGTAATTACATATTGTATTTAGAAATTAACTTTACACACAGAAATGTACAATTATGGAGCAAAGTTTTGATTTTTTACTTCTGAAAAGAATAAGGAACATTTTAAATTTGCTGCAAAAAATATTGATAGACATAAGCTTTGCATCTTCTAACTTTCCAGGAGTAGAAGCAGGTTTGAAACTCTTGGCAAATTTGCAGCATTAATTTTACAAACATATTTTCCATTAAATTCTATTTTCTTTAAAAGTTGTGAAACTGATATCATTATGGGCTTATTTCCTTTATTTCAGGTGACTATGAGAATTTCAATATTGATTCCAACACAGGATGGATCACCATAAAAACAGAACTAGACAGGGATGCTGCCTCTGTACAAAACAGTGGTGGGGTGTATGCAATGTATGTCAAGGTATGATAACATTTTCAAAAAATGACCTGCATTGTCTGAGTTCATTTCCATGGTTTTTATACATGTGTTGCCAAGAAGACAAAAATAAAACTACAGATTAACAAATGTATGAAGTCCATTTCTGTGTTGCATTGAGGAGTTACATGTAAATGCGTTTTTTGTGGACATATGTATCTCTATGATAGGCTGAAGAGGTGATGTCTGGCGTGAATTATGGGAACACTACTGCCACTACCCTGGTGACGATATCTGTGTCAGATGTCAACGACAACACTCCAACCTTCAACCACGTCAACTACACAGCTACCATTCAGGAGAACATGCAGAACGGTGTCCCAGTCATTTTTACCGCTAATACCATCATGTCTGTCAATGACATTGATCAGGTGAGTCAACATCGAGGTATCTTATGATCTAATGTTTACATACACTCTAAGCTGAATTGAAAAAAATGAATGAAATGGATGTGCAACAGCTGGGAGGAAGAAATGGGCACAATCAGCAAAAAGTGATCAGACATTAGTTTAACATATATTTAAACTATTAGGTTATAATTGAACGATTTATGTGTTTATAATTGAAAAGAGTCTGATATTAGATAACTTTATTTTTGTCCTTTGACCCCCACTCAATTAGAATGTTAAAAAAAACTTATGGTTGTTAAAGGAAAGATGAAGGATAAACCTGTTTTCCTCTTTGCAGTACTGATGAGGAAAGTTATATATTTGATTTAAATGCAAGTATTTATTTACTTTGTATTTTATTTCAGGGACTTAACAGTTACTTTGAAATCACTTTGGAGAAGGATGGCCAACCCTATTATGACTTTTCTCCTTTACCAAAAGAAGTTTTTTCAGAGTCTTCCATTCTGATAAGGGTTAATAATTCTGTGGGTCTTGATTATGAAAAGAAGAGAACAGCCACTTTTGATGTGAGTTTCCCTTTTCTATTTTCTCTTCAAGCATGGTTATATGAGTGTTACATCATATTACATCAAACAATGCATCACATTTCATGAAACAATGCATCACATCACATTACATAAAAGAATGCATCACATTACATCAAACAATGTATCACATTACATCAAACAATACATTACATCAAACAATGTATCACATTACATCAAACAATACATTACATCAAACAATACATCACATTACATCAAACAATGCATTACATTACATCTCATTGCATTACATTACATTTTGATTATATGACATGATAGGTAATAGCAAGAGAACTGAGGACCAACCCAAAGAGGAGCAGTTCAGTCAGGATGACAGTCCACATTCTTGATGTCAATGATAATCAACCACAGTTTGAAAACTCCTCTTACTCAGCAGAGATCCCCGAAAACTCTCCATCGGGGACAACTTTTAAAACATTAAAGGTAACATGCTGGATTTATAATAATATAATACAAATTTAGTGTTTGATTACAAAATTTCAGTGAGTGTGTGCAAAGTAAAATTTTTGAAAATTTTAAAAGAGGTGGATATTTTCTGAACTACATGTATTACAGAGTAAAATATTTGAAAATTAAAATGAAATTGATATTGAATGAAATATTACGGTGTAACTTTATGATGGAGAATATTTTTGAATATTTATCATTGCATGTCATATTATTTATCAATATAGGCAACAGACCAGGACTCTGGAGTCTTTGGAGAAATCACATATTCAGTCCGAGGGGGAAATGGAAGGTTGGTATAGCTTAGGCACTGCACAGAAAATTTTTCAGTTGAATACTTTTATAAATTGCTTTTTTTCCTGCAGTACATGTACATTTCCTTTTTTTTTTTATTATGTTATAAAATATGTATCACTTTAGATTTGGAATCAACAATAAAACTGGAGAGGTGTATAATACAGAAGTCCTGGACAGAGAGAAGATTGGTGAATATTACATCACGGTGGAGGCCAAGGATGGGGGTGGATTCCGAACCACTGTAGAATTATATGTGAAAGTCACTGACACCAATGACAACAGACCACTGTTCACCAGGGATGCTTACTTTGCGTCATTGAAGGAAGGGGCAATGTCATTCATCAGAGAACTTAAATTGGAGGTATTTTCATTGCATAAATCAGTTTGAAGATCCCTTGACTTTGGATTTGAAATTCCTTTAAACCATTTATTCATGCATACGTTCTGAGTTAAAATTGCATTTAAAATTTTTTTTTAATCGTGAAAAACAAAACTTTCATTTATATTAAGTATTTAGAATAGAACACAATTATCCATGCTTCAAGCTTTTCGCAATGTCATTTTTCATCAGAAGAATGGTAATAAATTTTTATAGTGGTAGATTATTTGGTATATTATTATCTATTTCCAGGCTACAGATCTGGATGAGGGCATCAACAGCCACGTCCTATACTCTGTATACAACATAGAGCCCCCTGTCCTTAACATCTTTACCATACACAACACCACGGGTGTGGTCAGACTGACCCGGGCCCTGGACTATGAGCTGGTCAATCTGGATCAGGTTCTGCTAGAGGTCCAGGCCTGTGACCAGGGGTCACCTCGGCTGTGTTCCAACATCAATGTCACCATTGATCTAGAGGTAGGAACTTTATGGACTAAATGTTATAAAAAAAGCTTTCCTAATAGATTGTACTCTGTAAAATATCAAATATGTATATAATTTTAATAAATGAACCTTTAAACCAATATGCTTTTGCAATGAGAATGCATAAGAATGAGCTAGACAGACTGTGAGTACAGACAGTTAGTTCAGCAATGAATAGAAATATTATTTTGTATCTTAATTACTCTGGATAGAAAGAGGTAAAGATAGAGGATTAGAAAGGAAAATATCTTATTTTTATACATTTACATGATTTCTCACTTTAAATCTACAACACAAGTACTGGTATTTTAAAAAATTCTCTATTTTTACTTTCAGGATGAAAATGACAATGCACCTGTATTTACTCAATCGATGTATCAAGTTGATATTTATGAAAATGCAACCATAGGATCTCAGGTGTTGAAAGTACATGCTTATGATTTGGATGGAACAGCCCCAAATAACGAGTTTGTGTTCCGCATTGAAAGCACAGCCCAGGACAAGTTCATAGTAAACTTCAGAACAGGAGAAGTGACTGTGGAATCAGAACTAGATCATGAATCAAGGTCATCCTACTCCTTAAATATTTCTGCCACAGATCGAGGGTCTGTGTCGTTAGAGGGATTTTGTCTGGTGCAAATTAATGTCCTGGACATAAATGATGAAGTTCCCTACTTCGCGACAAGCTCACATTCTGTAACTATCCAAGAGAACATGGCTTTAGGTTCCCCTGTTGTGACAATAACAGCTGTAGATACGGACAGCAATCCAAGACTCCGATATCAAATTCTGGAGGACTCCATACTAGCTGTGGATGAGGAGGGGAGGGATGTCAATGTTACAGCCAATCATATACAGGTAGGGTTATTTGGAATATCTCTTTAGAACTGATCAAGCAGTCCAAACTTTTTTGTTAAAGCCCGAGATAATAAGCACCGCCCTCAGATTTACCTGGTCTGTATCCCCCTGTCAATCAAATAAATTAAGGTCCAACATTGGGTACTTGAAACTGATTGACATTTGGCCACTAGTCCCTGTGTATATCTCTTTCACCTTGTTTGACACGCGTGGCCACCATCAAATTAACTTTCGGTCTTCTGATGTTTAGCGCTAAATTACCATCGCAATGAGGAAGCCATTTCGGTGCAAACAATTTCAGCTTGATTATAATTGATTAATTATCTGTATTACAAATATTTCATTAAAAAATGAATTTTTATCTCATTGTATTTCAATAAAATAAATCACGATTGTGTATATTTTGCTAGTGAAAATTGCATAGGCGAATGAAATCTTGTTTTCAGTCGTAAAAATTAAGAATGATTTTTGTTGTGAGACACGGCGAAAAATTACGATGAAAATAAAGGAGAAAATAAGCTGGTAACACAATGGATAACTAAGGATGAAACGAAATATCTTATAAGTAACAACTTCGCTTGGACAAGTATTAAAGAATTGAAAGTTTCTTTCTTTTCTTTTCCTTTTTATAACCGAGCATTTCTTACTTAGTGGGTTGTTACCTTCTTTCAAGGTCACAGCTGTTAAAAATAGTTTAGAAAGATATGTTAGCAATACATTAATATTTTGTTTTAAGTTGTTTACTTCTAATCTAAATTTACTTAAAATACACACATACTTGTATGTAATTTTAACTTTACAAAACCATCGTTATCATCGCGATTTTTTCACATTAGGATACAGAATGTACATTTGCTAAAAATAGGACCACGCGACTTTTTATATACAAACGGCAAGTAACTGTTACTATTTGATCATGATCGAAGCTCTAATCAATTGTTACTATATTTACGATAATTAATTATGAATAGTTTTTAAGATTTTGAAAGGAATAGACAAGGATGAGTATTATTTTTACAACGAACTCAAGTCGTAACTGCTGTACATGTGACGTACAACAAACCGTAGATTTTTTTTTTTTTACAAAAGTTGGCCAGCGAGATTTCTGCTTGTAAGTCTGAAATTACGAAATTTTACAATTATCATTAATTATTATTGATAATTTTTTATTTACGATGTCAAATTCTACTAATTTTATGATGAACAGTTGGCCACCAACCTGTACAGGTAATACCCATGGACTTCCTGTGTATACTGTTTGTGTATAGGGATTAGCGCTTCCCACGGTCTGCACGACCGTCAATGCCTCGGGGTGCCACGCGTGTAAAATTTAGTCCCTCCCCTTACCTGAGAAAACCGTACGGTTAGAAATCTCGGCCTTTAAATATAAAATGGATATTTGTTTATACACAATAAGAAGTTTGTAGTTGTTCTATCAAACTTCATTGCCTTAAAGTAGGTGAAACTAAAGAAAAAAAAGATAGACTCAAGGAAATAAGATATTCATGTTAAAATGAGAAAAGGAGTAGTTGGGACTGCCAGACTGATGTTGGAGATAGTTCACCTGAATATTGTTTTATTTTATAGGATTATTTTGGTATACAAAGCACCACTGGCACTGTGTTTGTTAATTCAGCAATAGACAGAGAAACAGCAGAAAGAGTGGAACTAAAGATCCTTGTTCAGGACCTCAATGGATGGCAGCCCTCAGCAGATCAACAAACAGCAACTGGTAAACAATTACCATTGATAGAAGTGGAATTTTTATCGCATATAAATTTAGTGATTTCTTCTTTAAAATCATCAACTAATTTTAGCATGAAGTAATTTTAGCAATTTTGTGATGCCTTCAAATAATACCCCCTATGAAGAATGGTTTGTCAGTGATATTTAATTTTACCAATATCAACACCTTTGCTGAAAATGCCAAAATTGAGTCCTTGCTAGATTTCTGCCTATTCGGTATTGCAGCTAAGCTTTTACGTAAATTTCCTCATTTATAATGTGACACACTTGCGGATTTAGGCTGAGAAATATACTTTTTCCTCCATCGCAAACTTTTAAAATTTTTGTGAAATTACTTCCCTTGTTTTCTTTACAGCCACCTTGACAGTGACCTTAGAAGATGTCAATGACAATCCCCCTCAGTTTGTGGGAGGCCCCCAGTTTCAGGTGAACGTCTCGGAGGGGAGGGAGGTCAATGACCTAGTTATAACGGTATCAGCTGTGGATCCGGACAAGAAACAAACCATATCCTACAGTATAGGGCAGGACTCCATCAATTCCTTCCAGATCCCAGATCCAAGTGTTGGTGAGGAGGCTTTGTTATATCGGATATTATTGTAATATTATTTATTGAATGGCTGGGAGTTTTTAGATCTAAAATCAAATTTAAATAAGATGGAAAGAAAACACTAATTTGAAGAACTGTACATGCTCTTATTATACCCTTAGTATATAGGAATCACCTTGTCCATCTGTCCGTCTGTCTGTGCAATCGTGTCCGGTCCATATCTTTCTTACAGAGGGACATTAGAATCTACTACTCCACACAAAGATTGCCCATAACCCAAGGGTGTGTCATGACCTTGACCCAAGGTCATTTGGGGAACTTTAAGGTCACTGGAAGAAAAATTTCATAATTCATGTCCGGTCCATATCTTTCTTGTGAATAAACTTGGTAGGTTCTCATTTCACACAAAGATTGCCCATGACCCAAGGGTGTGTCATGACCTTGACCCAAGGTCATTCAGGGAACTTCAAGGTCACTGGAAGAAAAATTTCATAATTCATGTCCGGTCCATATCTTTCTTGTGAATAAACTTGGTAGGTTCTCATTTCACACAAAGATTGCCCATGACCCAAGGGTGTGTCCTGACCTTGACCCAAGGTCATTCAGGGAACTTCAAGGTCACTGGAAGAAAAAATTCATAATTCGTGTCCGGTCCATATCTTTCTTGTGAATAAACTTGGTAGGTTCTCATTTCACACAAAGATTGCCCATGACCCAAGGATGTGTCCTTACCTTGACTCAAGGTCATTCAGGGAACTTCAAGGTCACTGGAAGAAAAATTTCATAATTCATGTCTGGTCCATATCTTTCTTGTGGATAAACTTGGTAGGTTCTCATTTCACACAAAGATTGCTCATGACCCAAGGGTTTGTCATGACCTTGACCCAAGGTCATTTGGGGAAGTTCAAGGTCACTGGAAGAAAAATTTCATAATTCGTGTCTGGTCCTTATCTTTATTATGGATAAACTTGGTAGATTGTCGTTTCACAAAGCGATTGCCCATGACCTAAGGTAGTGTCATAACCTTGACCCAAGGTCATTTGGGGAAGTTCAAGGTCACTGGAAGAAAAATTTCATAATTTGTGTCCGGTCGATTTCTTTCTTATGGATAAACTTGGTAGGTTGTCATTTCACACAAAGATTGCCCATGACTCAAGGGTGTGTCATGACCTTGACCCAAGGTCATTTGGGGAAGTTCAAGGTCACTGGAAGAAAAATTTCATAATTCATGTTTGATACATATCTTTATTATGGAAAAACTTACTTCTGAAAAAAACCCAGCGAGGGGTATTTTGTCACGTTTGGACAGTTCTAGTTTTGGCATGCTTTTATATTTTTGAATGTCACCAAAATATTTGTCATATACCGTTAAACATGATTAAAAAAAATATCCACATCAATATTTTTTATTTTTAATTCCACTTAAATAATCGTCCCATGTTTTTGCTTATGCTAAATAGACTAAGAACAATTCATCTTTAGATATGGAGATAAAATACTTTGAATCTTTTTTTTGTTTAGGCACAGTGACATTAAAACAACCATTGGATTATGAAAGCAATCATGTTGTAAGCTTCACTATAGTAGCCACAGATTCTGGTCCCATTATGTCACGATTATCGTCAGTGGCCACTGTCGTAGTCTCACTGATTGACATCAATGACAACACGCCTGTCTTTCAACCGTACTCTACCCAGTACTCCATAGAGGAAAACAAGCCCAATGGAACCTTTGTAGGGACAATCAATGCCACAGATAGAGATAGCGGGAGATTTGGAGAGATTTTCTACTCCATGCAAGTTACAAATGATGATCAAAGTCTAACTATTGACTCCAATACAGTAAGTCTCTCTCCACGGAAGCTAATATGTTATAAACCAAAATGAAAACAAATAATTAGAAAAAAAATTAACATTTCAAAAATTAACTCCAGGGAGGAAAAAGGAAATTAAAAAAACATGTTGGAAATTGAAAAATGTGAAGTCACTATATTTCAAAAAGTTATTCTGTTCACTTGAAATTTCTGTTTTTTAAAAAGTTTGAAGAAACTTGTTCACTGATTTTAATAACATGCATAAGATAGTGTAAATGAAGTCAATTATTGTATAATTTGCAGGGAACTATCACCGTCTTGAAGCCCTTGGACAGAGAAGTCAGAGATGAATACATTTTGTATGTCACTGCAACAGACAATATCAAGGGCAACCCAAACCAGCAACGCTCAGAGAGAACACGGGCCATATTTATCAAAGTAACGGATGTGAACGACAATAATCCCATCATAACTAATGTCAACAACATTCCCAAATCAGTTGTGGAGAATTCCCAAAATAACACCATTGTAGAGGTTATATCTGCCAGTGACGCTGACATAGGAGTAAATGCGGAGCTGGAGTTCTCCCTATTGTCTGGTCACACTAATGCCAGTGACAGCTGGTTTTATATTGCTACAAGGTACAACAATGACATCAAGAATAATGAAGGAGTCATTCGTACCAGGCAGTCTCTGCTAGGACATGTTGGGATGTATTATATCACAGTGAAAGTTCAAGACAAAGGATCTCCCACTCGTCTGTCCTCCAACCAGACTTTTCTGATAGAAATAATTGAATCCAATGAAAATTTAAATCAGCCACAATTTGTTGTTCCCAAGGGACCCATTGCCACACTACAAATTAAGGAGGTAAGATAATTTAGGAAATTTGTAGTTTTAATTAATTTGACTATTAATTTTTTTTTTTTTAACTCAATACTCAAGTCAATCTTTTGTTTGAAGTCTTCATTTTTTCCCCACTGAGGAAGATTTAAAACAATGTTTCATATCCCTTTTATTTTAATATGTCTGATGAATCTTTTAACCAGCAACAACCAGTAGGTACCACAGTGATACAGGTGAGTGCCACAGACGCAGATCACGGGAAAAATGCTGAAGTCCACTATTACCTGGCTCCAGAAAAAGACTACAGGAAGTTCCAGATCCACAAAGACACTGGACTATTGACTACCAATGAAATCCTAGACAGGGAGCAGCAAGCAGTTTATGAGGTTAGTGTAGGAATATTTGGTTCATTCATTGTTTTCCTTGCCACAACTTCTTGTTCTTGTGTGGCAAGGTTCAGCAAACTTATACTTCTCATGTGTATTCTACTCGTAAATGTTACATTTAGTCGATTGTATCTTTTCATTTTATTGATTATCAAATTTAGATCAAGGTGATTGCGAATGATAGTGGTATTATCAATGTCCTGGCAAACTCCATCACCATTTTTGTCCAATTGCTGGACATAGATGACCAGGAACCTGAATTTCCACGAAGACCAGACATGGAGCCCTACATGCTGGGGCCGGTCCCAGAGGAACATTCCATGGAATACTGTGGTTCAGTGGACGTAGCAATAGATAGAGATAGCCATGTCAACAATAGTCTTATCTTTTATTATATCTTAGGTAAGAGACCGTAGCATACAGAGAACTTTTATAACTTTCCTTACTTTCTTTGATAACTCAACCTGTTTGTTCATGGAAACAAATTTTAAGATCAGAAATATACCGGGTAGTTATCAAAGCACAGATTTGTAAATACTTGTATCTGTTACATATACATGTACTGGTATTTGATGATGATGCTGATTTGTCTTATTTCAATCTTTTGCAGGTGGAGATTTGATAGACCATTTTTACCTCAATCAGACAGGAGAGTTGTACTTAATGAAAGCTGTAGATAGGGATGGAGATGTCACAGGAACTCCCATCAACTTCATTAACCTGGTGATTTGGGCCACGCCACTGGGATACCTTAACATTGACAGATACTCAACACCACCAGGGACCAACAGATTACTGGCTCCAAAAATAGAAATGAGAGCACCAGATGATTACGATACAGGCAACACGACTCTGTTATGGGTTCAAATCACCATTAATGACATAAATGACCACCCACCAAAGTTCAGGACCCAGAATTTAAGTGTGGGAATCACTAGAAAAACTCAGTTTCAGGAAACTATATTTACACTCAGTGTAAGTCATTAGTTAATTGAAAATTGTATTTTGAATTCAATTGAATACTGAGGTTCTTGCTTGAAATATCCAGGCAAAGTTCTTGGAAACAAATAAAAATCTTGAAAATGAGTAAACTGTTATATCCAAAATTTAGAGCCTAATGTATTTTTGAAATGATATAATGAGTGGGAAAATGCATTATACAATGTTGATTGTTTTTGTATTATTAGGAGGAAGTGACAGATTTGGACACTGGGAACAATTCTGCCCATACCTTTCATTTGATGTCGTTGACCATTATCCCTGCGGCCCTGAGGGATGCTCTGCCCAGTGCCCCCGTTAGTCTGTCCAGTGATGGGGTGGTCAAAACCAACACAATATTCCAGTCAGACATGTCAGGCTATATTGTGATGGAAGTCAGCGCCAAAGATCAGGACGGCCAAATGGCCAATGCTTCATTGAGGGTACAAAATGTTTACTTTATTTAACGTGCAATGCAATTTTCAACAATTTGGGCAAAATTTTTTAATGTTAGAAAGACTGTAGTTGTTGTATTTATCGAAGGATTGATTCTTCTTTAGTGTAAGTTTCTCTTCAGAAGTTAAAGCTTCAATCAGATGGCTTTGGTTTGTTTGGTATTCCAATCCAGACAATATTGAATCTAAACATAAAAATTATATGTAGAAAAAAAGTTTTACGTTATTAAGATGTACTTCTTTGGATGAAAATTTGACTTGGTGCATCTTTATAATTGACAGATATCTCTTATCAATGATGATCAAAGAGTGAAAGTCATATTTAGAATGATGCCGAATCAAGTGAGAAACTTCTCAGAGGCTTTCAGAAGGTAAATTTATACAGTGTGTGATCAGGATTCAAAGATGATGCTATGGAACTGAAATAATCCACAGTATAATAATAATTAGTTGAAATTAAATGGTTTTCATATTTTCTTTCAGTAAACTGGAGAGGATCACAGGATACCATATCGTAGTTGACAAGATTCAGACCCATGAGAATGCTGCTGGAAAGCCAGAGACTGATAAGTAGGAGTTTCTGTATATTATGGGGCTCAGTTTGAAAGAAAATGTTACATAAATAATATACTCACCCTATGATTAGGATTTAATGCAAGCAATACGTATGATCATGATATCATTTCTCCAAAATATCTGATATTTCACTGCATTGCATGATTTATTTTATATAGGACCGATATGTTTATACATGGAGAAATCCTAAAGCCTTTTAGTATTGTTCCTGCTGCTGATCTATTGAGGTAAAGTCTGGTTTCTAAATTTGTCAATCATTATTACTTAAGTTTTTGGAATGTTTCTGAAATATATGTTACAGTCTATTTAAGGAATAAATATCTATTTTGGGGGGAGAGTCTGGTGATGATGTCAAATGCATTGACATAATATACATGTATATGTACAGTAAAACATGCTCATAGCAAACACGCTTATAATGAAGTGATGCTTATGTACAGCAAAGTGATTTTCATTCCCTTTCACTTTCATGTTCCACTGTCACATAAAATATTGTTTAAATTAATTAAATTCCGGTCCTGTCACTTAAATATACTGTTAATTTAATCTATAGAACAAATTACTTTTATAATGAAGCAAAGTCATTCATCCCTTGCACTTCATTACAAGCATGTTTTACGGTACATGTATTCACTTAAAAATATTGTTTAAATTTTATTTTTATGGTAAAATGTGCTATTATGATCAATTTGTATGTAAATTAAATTTTATAATAAGCCCAAAATAAAGTTTAAAAATGAAGAAATATTTCTGTACAACCGAATATACAGTTTTATATAAAAAATCATTATTGTCCAATAATTCAATTTTGCACTAATTCGCAAATATGAACAACAGAAGTTTATAAATAATTTTTCTATCTGTCATTAAATTAATTAATTACAAATTTTCAGTTAAATTTTCCAATGTCAAACATGCAACTCATATTGCTTTAATAGATGCTTTTCAGAACTTAAAATACATCAAAATCTCAAATACTGGAGAAAATGTTTATGAATTATTGCATATGTTTTGTAAAAAATATTTTTCTTTTAAAGTAAAATTGATGGACAAGCCTCAGCACTGGTGCCTGTTCTGAATGAATACAATATTCTACAAATTGTGGTAAGATACATGTACTAGGGAAAAAAGTACTCTCTCAATTAAAAATGTGAAAAGTTATCTTCTTTTCCACTTTTTTCTACTTTTTTATGAAATGTATGTATATATTTGTAATGTTTTATTTCAGTCAGCTGTTCAACAGGAAGAGGAAAAAGATTCCAATAGACTGCTGATCATGGGTCTGATTCTACTGGGAATCATTTTAGGAATTCCCTGTATTGTCATGGCGATAGTTATATTCCTTATTACAAAGTCGTAAGTATTAATTTATGTTTGTGTTTGATCATCAGGCAGCATAGGGATTATTGCACCTATTTGTTTAGTTTAAGGTCCTTAAGTCAAGATGGGATTTTGTTGTTTTTTTTTATTCATACTGAAAAAAGTAATTTAAATCAAAATTATACATTTGTTAGCTATCCAGCTGAAGGCATTACATATACCATGCTAGAATGCATGTATAAATGGATTGGAAAAGATTATTTGCAGTTAAAAGTTAAATTTACCCAGCCTTTTAGTTTTACCGAATAACCTGGGTAGCTGTTAAATTTATTCTGAAATTAATTCCAAAGCTGCTTACCTTTAGTATTGAATGGTTGATTTGTTTTACTAGGTATCAAAGGAAATTGAAAGCAGCCACAGCCATGGTGTATGGTAAGTGAAGCAATCTTCATAACTTCTATGATGTAAATTTTCTGTTGTAAACAATTTATTGAAAATAATAAAAATAATACATGTAATTGGAAATAGTGTCGAAAGTAATGTTGTGTAATCACAAATAAATAAATTTATATTTAAGGTCAAGATAATGATATGCAAAAGAATCAACTTCCTGGTACAAACCTACATGCCTATGAAAAGTAAGTGATACTTAATTCAGACTAATAGAAATTGTTTGGTCTGTAGAGAGATGTTTCTCAGGTATGTTTTTAATAGTTTACCTTCAGAAATCTAGAACTGCATTGTAAATGAAGACTTGTCTTCTGTTTTGTAGCAACGCTGTATTTGAGACCCAAACAAGATTTTAGGTTTGCTGATGTGAACCCTGCTTAGTTGTTGTGTGCATGTTTAATTTGTTTCATGCACCCTGAATTGAAAAGAAAAAGAAAGACTTTTCTCAAATTAAAATGTGAACATTTCTTCCCCAGTCGGTTATTTTAATATACATATATGCCAATTATAACTCACAGAGCTCTTAATTTTTTGCATGTTTTAGTCATTGCTAAATAATCCTAAACAGTTTTGAAAATTTTACGAAGATGTTGGCATTTTAGCATTCAAAATTATTCCTTTGGTATTGCAGTTGTTGTTTTGTAATTTTCAGTTCTTCATTTCGTCGATTTGAGAATTGTGTGTAAGCATGCTATTTTGTGACCATGTCTGAAATCCACTTCTTTTTTAAATGTTTCAGTGCCAATCCCATTTTCTTGGAGAAAGTATTATCACAAGAATCCCAAGATTTTGAGTAAGTCAAAATTAACTGTCAAGAAACCTCTTATCATTATACATGAACATTCATTTCGAAACAGTACTTGAGGAATATAATGTTAATGTAAATTGAAGGGATTTTTACTAGTTTCCAGAATGTTCCTTTACATTCGTGGAATAACCATGTTTTCTTTAATGTTTACTTCCATTATCCTTTAAGATAGGGATTGTTTGCTAATTGCTAATTAATCCAAAATGAACTTGATAAGCCATATTCAAAATAAAGATCAACTTGGTATTTCATTATTATGTACAGTTTCCCAGTAGTTTAAAAGCATGCTAGGATTGATGTCATTTGATTTGCTATTTCAGAGACAATGATTCAGTTGATGACAATGCTGTAGATGCCCCTGTCCCACGGACTGTGGACACACAAGAAGTGTCCATGACATTTACGTCAGACAGCAGTAAAATTCCTCCTAGCTACTCAGAAGTAAAAACTATCGGGGCTGTGATTGGCTCACAGGAAAACAGCTTTGGTCACAAGAATCCACTTTTCTCGACATTTAATGGAGATACTCCAAGATCTCACCTCATTAATGGCCTCCAGGCTTCGGACATTTAATGTCAGGCTCCGAGAGACTGAGGGATGGGACAACTTATTCATTGTGATATTATAACTTATTTAAAGCATGGTGTGATATGACAAGGAGGTTCTTGTCACAAGTGTTTCAAGTATTGTCAGAGTGATTTAATGATGCAGGTTTTGTTACTGTCATATTTCGGTTTATAATTTTTTTTACACATCTACCCAGTGCTCTTGCAGGAACACTAAACTAGAATTACCTCATTTTTTCACGAATTTTGTTCATGCAGAGTGCATTGGACATTTTGTTCTTCTAAATGGAAGTTTTTTAAATTTGAGAATCCTTAAATGTGCATTTAATTGAACAAATATTTTGATTAAATTACCATCAGTTATCTATGTGTGTATACAAATCATTACATTTTAACAATACCCTGTTGCCATATACATGTTGATGTTGATATTTAGGAACTTTGTTTCTTTCCAAGATTGTATGAATTGATCACCTATATTCCTACCCTGTACAAAAGCTTTATGAATTCCATTTACAGTATTTTTCTCCCCATATGTGCTCTTTTTTATCATTTGGTGTGATACTGAATTTAATGTATTATATATTATTCACAGCATTCACAGACCAACTATATTTTTGTGAAATTAATGTACCTGTGCAAATTCCAATGATCAGGTAACTCATATCCCATTATTGTTATAGGAGAGGTTGAAATGCATCAACAGATATGCCCAGTATATATTCACAGCATTTATTTTGGGGTAGAGTTTGGTAAAGATAGACACTTGTCAATAACCTCTCAGAAAATGAATGAGATACAGTAATGAGTGTCATGTGTAAATTGGTGGAGAAAAACTGATAGCTTTGTATGACATTTGAATTCCATTGACAATCACTTTGAAACAGCTCACTTAATTCTCACAAAATGCATTCATAATTCATATGCATTTTTATATTCTAGCTTTAGAGATTCAATATTTTGATATTAAGATTTTTTTTTCACTTTTGTGTGTCAAGTGTATTGAACAGTTCTAGGGATCAGTTTCAAGGTTGTGACAGCTGATAATATTTGTAGAATTGATAGTACCAAAGTAATAGAGAGCTAGCTGATTAAATATATATTTTTTAGAATGTATAGAGATATGTGATTGTTGTCTGTGTGAAAAGATTCTGTGTATGTTGTCTATTTTCTGAAGTGTTTAGCCAAGTTATAGAGCTATAACGTTCTATAACTCTTGCCAAAGAATTAAGTCCCAGCTTACGAAGTGCAATTACTGTAGTGAGTTGGTTTGCGTTATTTCCATGCCTTTTTCCCCAGAGCAAAAGAAGCAAACAAAAAGCTTGCCATGTACATTTATTGTTTTAAGGTATGCTATGTGACTTATTTTTCTGTAAATGTGAAATGGTGGGAGGGGGTCATCTATGTTTAAGGTTCTGAAGCCTGTATTTAATTTCATTTGATGTTAACAAGGTTACAGTCATGTCTCTTTGTAAGTTGCATTATATTTGCAACTTTAATTGTCATGTTTTTTCAAATGAAATCAAAATGTGTTGAAATTTATGTGTTATTTATTAAATGCTAAATATTGCATATGTTTGTTTTTATTAAAGCCTTTCTGCAGAGTTGGGGGACTATGGTTTAACCTCTATCCACTTGATATTTCAGTTCTACTCAACTCTGAGATTTTTTTTTTGAGATTTGGTACTTTTTTTAGATATTTAATAATAATTTGAAGACATATTTGTAGATGTACCTCAGACTTGTTTTATATAATTAATACTGTAAATGTATTGTATTTGGCATGTACAATATTTTGTGGAAATTAATTTTTGAACAAGTTTGCGAAGATTTGATTTAGCTCATTTCCTAATGTTCTTATTTATGAGTATTTGTGCAAGACATTAGACATTGTACTTGAATTAGCGGAAGCCGAGATCCTTCTCTGATAACTACATTTAACTACCTGTGATCATTCTATATTCTCTGTGTTTAACTACCTCTGATCCTTCTTTAGTCTCTTTGACTGACAGTGAACCTTCTCTAATCTCTATGTTTTTGATAGGGCTGGGCAATAATATCGATATTTCAATATATTGCAATACAATGGCAAAAAATATCGTATCGCAATACGATTATGTAATATCGATATATTGGCAATATGCTTAGATTAAGGAATTTTGTCATTAAATATAAAAATGGACTTATGAAAGTTTGTTATTTAGCCAAATAGTAAGTCAGAAGTTGTTTTGTGGGAACATTTCAGAGCATAACTTAAATGAAATCAACAAGATTTTTTTTCCGTGTTGGTCACTTATCATGGTTATGTACATTCCGCATGTAAATTAAAGTAAATTTAGTAAGAAAATGCCATTTTTATTACATTGAAAATATTGCAATACATATCGCAATACAGTTAAAAATATCGCAATATATCGCAATACGAAATCTCAGGCCAATACCCAGCCCTAGTTTTTGACTGATGAACTCTAATCCTTCTCTGATAACTATGTTTGTCTGACTACCTGTGATCCTTCTCTAGTCTCTATGTTTGACTGACTACCTGTGATCCTTCTCTAGTCTCTATGTTTGACTGACTACCTGTGATCCTGTTCTAATCTCTTGTTTAACTGTGAAACTTTTCTGGGCTCCATTTATGACTGACTACCTTTGATCCAGACATGACAAAAACTGCTAATCCTTGTGAAGAATTTTGTGAGTAAATAAGATACAGGATGATTGTATCCTGACAAGTCAAGCTTTTAATGTAGCTTGGTGACAAAAAAAAAACCAATTATCTATAGGCTTAAAATATTTTATTTTATGCATAAAAATATCAACAACTTTGATTTGCATAATGGATTTCCCATTAAATAACTTTTGACACATCGAGTTATTATTGTACAAAAAATAAAAGCATGTGATACTTTAATATATCAATCACAGGCATTCATCATTAACAATGACAATATGACTGAGATCACAAGCCCCATAAAATTGTAGTACAAGAGACATGTATGTAAATATTACCTAACCAACAGTGAACATTCTCTATGAAAAAAAAAAATCTTCAACCAGAGTAATAAATGCATATTTTCAAAAAATTGCTGAATCTGCATCAATATCCAGTAAAAATGCTTCATATGGGCTGTGTAAAATTGAGAAATGTTATGGCATCTTTAATCACAGGCATAATGAGGATAAAAGGGTTAAATACTTGGTCCTGATTAATTCCTTTATTTAAAAATTCACTTGTCTTCCATTGGACTTGATTCCTTTGATCCGTAATAGTCTGTAATTAATTTGGCACCATTGATACCACGGACTGTTATTTTACTGGGTCTGACTAACAGTCCATGATCCGGACGACAGGTAAAGTACCGCTTGTCATGTACACTGCCGTCGTTCTTTCCTTTTGCAGTTCTTAGTTCCACACCCACCCACACACCTTCACCAAACTCCGCTGGACCAATGTACCTGACAACACCTGTAGGAAGAAATCTTTTGTTTTATACACTGCAATACTTCCTATAAATATTCTGTCTTAATCACGTTTACTTCTTTACACAGTGGATATAGCTCAAGCCAGATAAAGAAGTGTGTGTGTTAATGCTCCAAAGAGACATTTCCCTTTAATCATGATCAATTTGCCCCATCCTTGGAAACAAACTCGGTGATCCATGGGGAAAAAACAAATAGTTTAAAGAGTAAATATTTTTAAAAATTCCTTCTTAAGGGTTTCCATGGTGAGGTTTACCTACCTAGTTCATTATTACAGAAGACACTCATTCCCACTTCCAGCTTGAAATCGTTGGTGGATCCAGGAGTTCTGGAGATCCTCTGTGAATTAGGTGTCCTGGCTGAACTCTGTCCCATACTTTTTGGTCTGAAGAATGTGTGTCCGTAATTTAACAAATTTAGCACTTTCCACTAGAATTTATCTGTATGTGTAATGATATTTGTGCAGATTTTTACAAAAACTAGTAGTAAATAGGTTTAAAAAAAAAAAAAAAAAAAAAAAAAAAAAAACTAGGCCCATGGGCCACATTGCTCACCTAAGTAACTTTGGTGACTTGGACTTGGCCCTTCATTTTAACATTTTAATCACCTCTTCACTGAAGGATATTTTGTACTAAGTTAGGTTAAAATTGGCCCAGTGGTTCTTGAGAAGATGTTGAAAATGTCAAAAGTTGACAGACGGACGGACGGCAGACATCGGGTGATCAGAATAGCTCACTTGAGCTTTCAGCTCAGGTGAGCTAAAACAGCTTGGTTTAAACCAAATTTATGGCTATCTTTTAGCATCTAGAGTTGGGTCAAATTATCATTTGCAAAATGTACATTGCACATGTAATATGATATATTATACATGTATACAGAGTGTTGCAACAAATCAATAATTTAGGATTTTCTTTAGATATTTTTACCTTTTGACAGGTGTCCTTGCTCGTCCTGGTGTAGAATTTACACCACCAGCTGCTGTAAGATATAAGAATATAATTTTTATTTAATCACTAATATCAGAGATCTACAGGCCCAAGTGCTGTAATGGGTCATCCATTATAACTTACGGTAATATCAATGAGTAGAAAATGAAAATTGTCTCCTATAACTGCCATTTAGTGTACATATCTACATAGTGAAATTATACTAAAGATTATGATCCGTCTCTGAGACACACCCCCCCCCCCCCAACTTATGACAATTATTAGTATACAAGTCTACACAGCGAAGTTACACTGAGGTTTGTGATCGCTCTCTTGAGACAGCCCCCCCCCCAACTTATGACAATTATTAGTATAAAGTCTACACAGCGAAGTTACTCTGAGGTTTGTGATCCCTCTCTTGAGACAGCTCCCCCCATCCCCCCCCTCCCCGCAACTTATGACAATTATTAGTATACAAGTCTACACAGCGAAGTTACACTGTCAGAGGTTTATGATCCCTCTTTGAGACAGCCCCCCAACTAATGAGAATCATTAGTGTACAAGTCCTCACAGTGAACTTACACTGAGGTTTGTGATCCCTCTCTTGAGACAGCCCCCCCCCCCCCCAACTAATGAGAATTATTAGTGTACAAGTCTACATAGTGAACCTACACTGTGGATTACGCTCTCTGAGACAGCCCCAAATCTAATGACAATTATTAGTGTACCGTGCATGTCTACATAGTGAACATACACTAAAGTTTGTATTCCCTCTCTGATAACCCCCCAACTAATGACAATTATTACTGTACAAGTCTAAGTTGTGAACTTACATTGAGGTTTGTGATCCCTCTCTGAAACAGCCCCCCAACTTATGGCTTCCAATGACTCACTGGAACTAAATCTTCTATCTCCCAATCTAGCAAAAGAAAGGGAAAATAAACACTACTGAAATAATAAATATCATCACAGACACTTCTCAAAAAAGTCTTTTTCTAAGTAATAAATAAGTTATACACTGTCACCTGGTTTACAGACAAGTTCACTCACACAAAAATCATTCAATTTTCAGTGATGACTTTATTCGCGATTTAACGCAGGCAAACTAGTTCGCGATGATTAGTTTTTGCGATCAAGCCTTTTTAGATCTGTTGTTCACATGCACTCGAATAAAAGTTGGTTTACAGTAATTTCTTGACTATAGGGCTAACATATTTTTGAATTTCCATTTTTAAAAATTCCGTTGAAACCGAAATGCTGCAGAGGAAACTGTGTTCGAACAGTTTTACAGCTTTGAAAGAACAAGAAAATTCAGCAAAGATTCTAAAAACTCAGAAAAAATGATATGGTTAACATCTATAAATATTGAACAGAATGTTTCTTTATCATAAGTTGACTGACAATTAAAAATTAAATTGTACTTACTTTTGTATTCTTGATAAGGGAGCAAAGACCCCATGTTTAGGTTTACATGTGAAATATCTCTGGCCATTGACAGAACCATCATTTTTTCCTGCTGGTTTGTCTAACTCTATACCATACCAGATACCTGAAAAAACATTCTCTATGTCAGACATGGTGCTTTCATGCTAAATGGAACATACTGCAATTTATTCAAGGAATGATAATTCAATAGTCAACTCTTTGTTACTAGATAAATATCCTTATGGACATACAAAGGGTTTCAGGAATTAATACATTATTTTTAATGACCACAAGCACTTGGTATAATATTTTAAAAATGCACACAAATTCATTAAATACTTAAAATATCATCTGAAATACTACCAAAGTTGAGTCTGAGCAAAAATATTTACTTCTAATCACTTATTTCAACAAAATACACAACTGAATAGAGTATGACAACAAAATAATAAAAGGTGAAGAAAAGTCAGATAAGAGACATTTAAATAAGTACACTATCTACATTCCAAGAACAATATTTGTTTTGTAAAACGCTTTCAATACCAGGTGCGAACTGAGTGTTGCCGGCAAATCTAACTGTGCCTTTCCTCTGTCCTGCCACAATCACTCGTTCCCCCACCTCCATTTCAGCCAAGTTAGATATGGAATTTGTTCTTGCCTTCAGACCTAAATAGATTTCAATAATTTTATAATTCATATTATTACTTCATTTGAAATACAATGGTATACATACCAGGTAAT